CACTCGTTTTTCAAGCGAAATTCAAGGCTCGCAAGTTTTAGATAAGCATGGTAAAGTCAAATTCAACAGTCGTAAAGTCCATTAGACACTTAGTTATCACTCTCAAACTCCTATGGATGTTTGAAAAAACAATTGTTTTTCTTAAAGAAATTACTAAAACATTTGTGCTAATTTTTTTATATTGGGTATAAAATATAATAAATAAGTACATATGACTCCACCAAAATAGAACAGATGGTTTGCAGCACATTGCAACCGCCAGGGAGTCGAATCTGGACTTGACCTTGAGCTGAATCCCGTGCGATCTATTTTGCTTCTTTCTTAGCGGATACTATTACTTAGTAATTAGGATTTTGCAGCCAAAAAATTCTTTAATATTGTTGTGATCAGCAACGCGGGGAATCAAGTTGAAATTCGGTGATAAGTGAGCTTTTTGTTGCTTGATACTTTTATATTTGTAAATGTTGCTATCGTATTTCGTTTTCTTGATTAAAGATCCGGTGTTATTGTACTTCAGGTTGATTGATTGTGATTTATAATTCGATAATTTGAATGTATAATAACAAAGAAATTAAGTAAAAGAAATAAACTTAGTTATCTATATGAAAATGTTACCTGAAGCAACAATTGGAAATTCATAAAAGTAAAGTAAAAAACCACTTATCAAGCTTAAATCTACGATTAAGGTATAGATTGACACTAGGGCTTAGTTCTTGCCCCGTGTTCTTGAGAGCAATTGTGCTGCTCCTTATCATCCTTTTTATTATAATATAAATTCCAGCAGCTCATGCAAAAGAACTGGCCATCGAGCTCTTTCTTATGTTTATCTTCCGCGTGCTTTATAACTCCATTCTTGAGCAGAAATTCTTTGTGGCATAAATAGCAGAGGTAGTGTTCCGCTTGGACATGTTGTAGTCCTTCGTGTTTGTCGAGCTCTTCCTTATTAGTTGCTATATATTCACACTTATCACGGTTGAACGACATCTATAAAAATGCAAAAGAAAAACATGATGAAATGTAAACGTTAAGCAAAGGACAACCATACAAAAAAGAGAAGGGAAACAGAGACAAGTAAAAGAAAACCATAAACATAAACCTTTTGATAAATAGATACGAAATGCACAGATCGGAGAATAGTTAGATATCACTAATTAAGCAACTCTATCAGGTCATATAAAGGCAGATTCTGGTCTTGAAGAATGCAAAAGGAATGAGTATTCTTGCAATATGCATGACTCAGTTTGGAAGGTGAAAAATAATGTTTCTGTTGCATTGCATTAACATACAATTGTAACCCAAACCGAAACCAGAGATTTAGCTAGGTTGTATATATGTAAGTCTGTGAAACTACTGCGGGTTGAATTTTTGAAAAGCTATTTGCCCTAGCTAGCTAATTGGTACATGACAACTTGATCATTCGGTTTTCATGTGTTTAAAAGAGCCATTGAAACAGATTGATCGTCATGCTTTGTGTCTGTCTGTGATCAACAAGCAAATGAAAATAAACTAGCTATATTTTGGAGCACAAGGAGCTGTGAACGAGTACGGACCTATGTTCCAAGTCCTCTTGGTGACTATTTTTAACAGCTCAGTTACAATTTTGGTGACTAAATGACATGGAAATTGATGATTGGATTATTACTTAAGCGTTGATAAATGTGCTCATTTCTATTGGTGAAACATCATTTAGTTTGCAAATTTTGTCTATAAATTGAGTCTTCACGAAGCGAAATGCAATTGAACATCAGCTCAAGAAGATGTGAAATGTATCGAACACAAATTGAAACGAGTGAAGGGTGCACCCTGCTCAATGTGTGTTTTTAAGTATGTCTGTAGGATTGTTAAGCTTTAATATGCAACAACTTATTTTTTGTTGTTTTTTCATTTTATCAATAATAATGTCAATGTCAAAGAGTGAAAGAGTCAAGGACGCGCAAAACTTGTGGGAAGCATAGCAGAACCGGAGCATATGCTGCGTAGCTAGAATGTTACATACCCCAACAGCCACAGGGGGTTTCTTCAACTTCATGAGCTTCTGGAAAAAAATTGCGGGCTCAACTGGCTCAGTAATTGTCAGTGTGATGCTTGTAGACGTTATATTTTCTGAATTTTTTCCCCGTAAACATTGGAACTATCACGTAACTATGGATCAGCGAAGCAGATTGAACCACAGATTGAACATAATTTGCAAGTAAAAATAATTACTTACATATAACGGGTCGTGTAATGTTTGCACAGAAACTTGCAAGAAATAGCATACAAAAACAAGAGTTGGGTATTAATTTTGGGTTTGTAAGAGCATGGCAACTTTGCAAGTGTTGAAAACTAACAATTACCAACATGTAATAGCCTCCAAGAATCCAAGAGTAACAACTACACTTTCCCCTATCACGCAGGGCAATGATGTTCCTCCTTGTCTGCTTTTGCGAAAAAAAACAATTTATAGTAACTTTTGCACATGAACCACCGTGTATTTGCAAAATTCTGCTACTCTCGTGTAATTGATTTCGGTAACAGAAAACTTGGAATGTCCAAAATTATGTATTATACATTATAATACAAAATAATAGAAAGTAAGACATTATACAATCCAACTCCGAATCAAAACTAATCTGTATTATGAGCAAATATCTGATCTGCTATCAAGTGAAAGCAGATTGGTGCCATAAAGTTAATTGTGAAGCGGATTTGGTCCTGCAGGAACATGTCGACGCGAAACTGCATGGATCGGGCTGATCTTATTCTTCATCATCGACTCCATAGATCTTAGGAACATAGGAAAATACTTGCTGTCTCTTAACTTCTGTTCTGTATCTCCATTTGAAGCTTGAGTAGTACTAATTATCGGTCGACAGCCGCAAATTTGAATCACTGCTAACAAGCAAATGACAACTAAAATTGGGATTACGTGCTTTTGAGCCTTCATGATTTGTCTGATAAGAAAAGCAGAAGAGAAATATACTTTGTTTGTGTTCTTGATTTTTGTCAACATGTCCTTTGAACTGCTCTATTAATAAAGGAGCTGGCATTTGCCTGCAGGCTGCCTGCAGTGCCGAAAATATTCCGAAAACGCATAAATTTAAAACAGCTACCAAGTCAAAATTCGGAATCGAAATCGGTATTGTGCTGTTACGTGTACTTCCACACGTTTATCCCAAATGACAAAAGTTGACTTTCGTAGGAAGTCGGTTTCTGCAATGTAAGCTGGCCACCATGTGTAGCTCCTTTGTTAACAAGCACAGTTGACTTATCCTCCAAGCTACAACTTTGTTATTAAAAATTGAAATGGCTGGAATTGTTGACATGGCACTAGATCACTAAAAAGGCGACCTCAAACCAACAAGGCACCCCACTTTGCGGGGATCGGGTAAAATTGTTTATCATACGCAGCCTTACCCTTGTTTCAGGAATTGATATAATTAAGCAACTAGTGTAAACTGTAGAATTCAGGCCGAGAAGCAACCAAACATAATCCTTTTTTTTTTTCCAGATGCCTTGATGGCTATACTTTGTTTCTAGGAGGAATTTATGGGACTGAGATGTTAAAATTGTCGATCCATTCGGACTTTTTGTTGCTACGATTGCATCATTTTAAGTACAAACGATGAATTTCGACCACTTTGTAAGATTCATGCATTGCATTTGCAGCATAAATTTGAAAAAAAAAAGAGGCTTGCTTACTATAACGTTACAGACAAATTCATATGTCAGCAAGCAGGCTGCTCCAGAAAACTAACATTATAAAACAAAATAATGACACTGAGATCGCTCCAGCAGTCAACTGACATTTTTTATTTGTTTGCTCATGTATGAGATTTGACCTAATCCCTGTTATAAAATGTCTCGTACATTTTCTTAATCAACATGTGCAGTCGACTAAACACAGTGGTATTATTCAGGGTGCATGAATACTTGCATGGATTGACCAAGAAAAAAAAAAAGGAGTGGTTTGAAATTACGAGGCCGGCGGCATGAAGTTCGGAATCTTGACCAAACTTGAGGGAAGAAAATTGATCATGTAATTTGATGGCGAAAGTGTATCCGTCGATAAAAGTCTTGTGATGGTTTTTCTTAAAGAAATTGAGGTTCCACCATAAAACCAAGGGGCATTTTGATATAGATGCCTCAAATTTGAATTTTTTTTAATCAAACATCTATAACTTTTAAACTTTTGATCAAACATTCTTCTACTAATTTTTAATTAAAAATTATGATTTTTATTGTATTTAATTAACTAACTAGTTCAGAAAATAATATCACAAATATTCTAAAATCACCACAAACTTCCTATCTTATCTTATCATAATTCGTTCAAAATGAATTTTTCTTATTCAAATAATTTGTTGTTTTAAATTCTAAAAACACATAAACACCCTATTAACATACAATTATGAAATATAACATGCACATATATTAAATATAACGTACCAAACAGATATATTAAATATAACGTACCAATCATTTGGTACATTATTGGTACGTTATATAAATTTAATCTGGGTACGTATTAGTATTTTGGTACGTTATAAAATATTGCTTTTGGTACGTTATGCAATTCTTTATTTAGTATGTACCAAGTTATTAGTACGTTGTATTATCCTTATTTTGGTATGTACAAAACTTATGGTATGTTTTGTGTAAGTTGTGTAACCCAAAAAAAAAAGATAACTTTTCACATTAAAACATTGCACTAAAAAATATTTTGTCAACTCTTAATAATTAATTATTGGAATAAGGACTCATTTTAAATAAATATAAAAATGTGAAAACTCTTAGTTCACGTTTCTACTCTAAGTAGTTGTTAAAAAATTCAAATTTATTTTCAGTTGCCTGAAATTAGGTAGTCTAGTCTACATCTCAATTTTAATTATAAACGAACTATTGTTTTTTTATAATCTATACAAAATGTTGAGTTGGAAATTGGAAAAACTATATTTCATCCAATTAATCTTGAACCCCAGTAGATATAATTGAATCCTTAAATTGAGGAAGGGATGAGATTCCATAAAAATAGCAATAAATTAATGAATATTATTGAGTGCATTTTTTTACATAGAAATGGATTTAAAAGAATTTATAAAGTACTTAAATTAAGAATATACATGGAATATAAAGTTTAATTAAAAGTAAAAGTACTTTAATCAAAAGTTGAAAGGTAACAGATGTTTAATTTAGAAAAATCTAAAATGAGACATCTAATTCTAATTAACTGTAAAACGAATTGGCAATATGGGAAGTAACACAACCTCTTATAAGTTCATGCAAGGTCCCTCTTCTTATTAATGTGGGATTCATCCTCAGCACGCCCCTTCATGTGTGGTGAATTTTTCAAGTTTAACATGTGGACGACATAAGGACTAAGAGCATCGGCAATCAGGTGACTTTCAACTTTGATTTACCTGCATTCGAAGGTTTGAGACTCATTAATTCATTCATTGTTTTCCAATCTATTTCTGTAGCGCATAATCGGACGATCATCCAAAAATTGAGTACGTAGTGATTCACCAGAGTGGTTCTGCGTTGATTAGTTCCGAAGATCATCATGTTGTGCAAGCTAAACACTGGATGTACTCAAGCTTGATTTCTGATCTATATATGCATTGAGTATGATGCAAACAAAATCACTGGATATTCGAAAAAGGTATCAACTACTTTACATCTTCGATTTACAAAATTATGACACGATTACGCAACAAATTCAACTGCTAATCGCTCGGTTCAATGAAAGAACAGAAGAGAAAGAAAATTTCTTCAAAATCTTGAGCAGGGAAGCAGATTTTCGACCTTTTCCTTCTTGTTCTTTCCAAGAACCGAGTGTATGATGTGTGAGATAAAATTGGCTCAGTTGTGAAGTGGATTTGGCCCACCAGGGACAGCTTTGTGCGCAACAACGTTTATTCCGTTCATCTTCTTGTATCCAAATCCTGCAGAAGAATGAGAACCGGCACCAAGGCGCCGCGCAAAGAGAGACGAAAACTTGGCTCTTAGTCTTGGTTCCGGATCTTCGCTGCCATGCCAGGACCAAGTGATGCGACGGCAACTCGAAACATGAACCAGTGCTATAATTACAACAAGGAACAAAATGATAGGAGAGAGTTTATGAATTCTCATGACTAAAAAACTTGAGCTAGAAGGTTTGAACTCAAAGGTTTTATTTATAAGGAAGGATCAGGCATCCTTATGAATTATTTTTTTTTCCCAATTTGTATTTTTATTTGGAAGGACATGATGAGGCAACCACTGGTAAGATAGAAGCCAAAACTAACAATCAATCAGTCATATATATATATATATATCTCTACTAATTGATAAAACTCTCTTTGTCAACTAAAAGATGATGAAAAGACAAATTAATCTTCTATCACACAAAAAAAAAATGATGGGCAATCACAGATAATGTTAAAATACTTCCAACATTAAAAATAAAATAAAAAACCAAAAAAAAAACCTCTCACTCCTCCACATTCTCTCTCTCCCTCTCTCATTCTCATTTTCTAAAAAAATGTGTTTATATACACAAAGTGTGTAAGCAAATGCTAGTATACGTGTGTGTGTATGAGAATGCATGAACACTCATTTTCCAATCATGGTTCAGGCTCAAAGAAAAAAACAAATGAACATAAATATATATATATATATATATATATATCTAATGAGAAAGGGCAACACATTAAACAAGAAACTAAAACCATCTTCAAATGAGATATTAAATTCTAAATGGAATGTTTCGCAATCAAATTTAAAGGTATGAAAAAACTCTTACTGATGTATCAATTCTCCGTGGATTGACATACGAATATTTTGCTGACAAATTTGACATATGAGAAAATGTGTTGTCAATTTTTTGTATAAAACCAAATTATTTTATTATGTGAGACCCATTAATATACCAATTATAAATCTTAAAAAAAATTCAAATAATTCCTTTTAAAAATGAATCCTACAAATATTATTATTATAACAAAAAAAAAAGTTAGGAAAAAAAAATCTAACATGTCAAGTCATCAAATTAATATTTGACAATTATTTTAGCTATCTCTATTTAAGATGCTAAGCAAGCTAGCTGATTTATTTGATGTTAAGATATCAAGACGGACATGTATGTATTAAGCATACTACGGGAAATTTTTTAAGAAAAATTAATGAAAAATGTTTGAAAGTTTTAAGTTTTAATGATAAGGATAAAATAAAGGGTAAAGTGAATAGTATTATGATTGATTTTTTAATGTAAAAATGTAATAATTCATTAAAATATACAGTACCAGAAATTTTTCCGCTAAAATTCTCAAATTTTTATGATTTTACGAGGAAACAAGAGCTCTATCACCATGTATACATGTGTCTCAAGTGATGAAAGAAATATGGAACTGCTGACGTCCAAGAGTCCCTTGTTATTAAGGCAAGTCATACAAGTGAGGTAGCTAAAGGACGACGGCATTTAATAAACAGTACACCATTTTACATACAGTACCAGCGAAAAGATATGTCAATGGCCAGAAATTCAACTGCCAGCAGTAGACAGTGATAGGTAATTGTGGTCCAATAAATACGAAAGGGACCCTTTCCCGATTCATTCTACAAAATTCATCAAATTCACATATTCAAACCTTTCAAATTTAATCTGACAGCTAAAAGCAGGGGTTTTCTTTAAAAATTATAATAATTTTAATCGTTTGATTAAATTTTTAGAGTCCATATTGATGAATTTGGTGGACGAGATCTGAAGAATATCCCTTTCCCAATAAATAAGGATGAAAATTCTCACCGGATCTTCTTTGTGAGAATCTTAGAGATCAATTTATTTTAGCCGTTCATCGTACATTGTGTGGTCAATTTTCGTTATGTACTATTTGTGTTCAATTTTAAACAATATTTAAAATAATTTATGATCGCAGAATGATTGATGAACAAATAGGATGAACTGATCCAACAAATAGGATTCGGATAGGATACTGTTCCAAAAAATAAAAGGAATACGATTCTGGAATCATATAAACAACGTGAATAATAGTTTTAAGTTTCGATTACTATCCTGAATTGGTAATATTTGTTTTTTAGTGGAAAAGAGAGTACGAATTTGAAGTCCATCAAGAGCTAGAAAGAAAAGGCCTGCACAACGAAAAATATGAACAAATCTGTCCTCAGATTGAAGATCAAAAAGACAAAATTTTGATTGAAGTGGCTTATGGCTGCTCCAACGGGGACACTGATTTTCGAGTGCCACGAAAAGTAGGGAACTTCAAAACAATAGGTGCATGACATGTTTATCGTACCTTAGGACATCGAAATCCACATCTAATCGTGATTAGACTCTATGTTCCAGAGCGATGCGAAAGACGGGACCTTGAGAAGAAGATAATGTGCATATGGTTGCTTGTCGTGCCGGTAGGTAATGCGTTGTACGTTCGAGATGTGGCACTGCAGGAGAAAGAAGCTGTCCTCAAAGGGACAAGGTGCTAGAGTGACAACAACAATCTTTGATTGAAAGTCTTTGATTGTTTACAATTATGTAGCATTGTGAAGTGACTGCCCGTGTTGGAGATGTTCTGAAACTTTAACCATCTAATTTCATCTCAATTTACTTGATATGATGTGAAATGCGGGCAGCCAAATTCCTCCGGCAAACAGGCCTATGTCTCAAGAAGATATTCGGCAAAACTATCTGACTAGAAAATCTGTTAAACAAAGACACCGCTAGGGGTCGGATGAACTAGAATATAATGAGTTTCCTTGCTTTTATAAGAAATGCCCTACGAGAATATAATGAGTTTCCATGCTTTTATAAGAAATGCCCTACGGATGACGTGCTTGAGCAACCCCCCCCCCCACACACAAGTTTCCCTCCATCTTCCCCCAGCGGAAGTATTGGGGCAGAAAGGCAGAAAAATAGCAGCCTATGTGCTGGAAAAAGAAATTGTTACGGACCCAAAAAGAGTGTTCCGCATGTACGAATCATCTGTATATAATTCCTTAACCGCACAAAGTACTCACAGAAGTCGAACATTGCTGATTTATTACACCACAAACTAAGCATCCACGAAGGTATGATTATAACAGGATTATCCTAGGCTATGAAAGTAGTAACTTATGTGTGTGCACAAGATTCACCAAACATGCACCAGCCAAACCCCAACATCTTTAGTACCTCCGCAGAAATGGTTTCGGCTTTGCAATTACTCTTGCTTAGCTTCAGCACTAGATGAGGTTTCCTCGGATTTAACAGCTGGACTATCGGATGGAATATCTTCAGCAGGCTTAGCAGCATCTTGATCGATGGCTTTAGCAGTTTCGCCAGTGGATTCTCCTTCAGTTGCAGGAGCGGTGCTCTTAATAGATCCGACCTTGACATACTTGCTCATGAACTTGTATTCCCAGTCCTGCAAGGCCTCGAGTTCGAATGGACCAAGACCAGAGATATCACCAGTCAGATCTTTGTCTTCAAACGACATTTTTGCAAGAGCTCTGCTAGCATCTTTCCCCGCGAACAGTGCGTAAGGCCCACCAGGTCCATAAAACATCCTGCAAAAATGGTTAAAAAATAAACAAATTCAGATCCATGAAAAGAAGACAGCACAGGCCAAGTAATACGAGCAGCTATGGAACTATTTGTTTCACATCACTTATAAAACATGGATGGTTAAGCTATGGAACTATTTGTTTCACATCACTTATATCAACGCCGTCTGATCTCACTAAACAAGTTGGTTTGGAGGAAACATGTTTTTTACCCGCAAGAACTTTCTGAGACCGGTTCACTAATTGTTCGCACTTTTAGGAACTACGAATACAACTCTGCAAAAACCAGCTTCAAAACGAAAGCATGTACAGAAAGAGCTGCAAAATGTACAAATTTTGCACAAGAAACAATTCCAAACACTTCTAATTTGCGTGGACAGAATCCTTCATCCCTTAAGCCAACACTCCTCGGAAATAAACGATGATCTTGGTAGATATTACTTTTGATCAAACCCATCGTAATTTGTAAGTAATAAAAATCACATTGTTAAGATCATAAGATTCAACATAAGCATGCTAGCAGATGACTGATAATCTTAAATTCTAACTTCAACCAAAGGACATCACACAGATAGTAACTACCAGGCCACATAAAACTTCAATCCCTGATTACACAACTTGTTGATATAATTCTACAGAATTTCCATGATCTTAGCAGCCGGAATTATATAAATACAATCGCAAAATTCCAGATGTCCAAAGTTTTAAACTTTTAACGAACCAAGTGTCCATGAATTACAAACCCAGAAGCTAAAATTACCAGATAATAAGTAGCTGATCAAATAAAAAGCACATACAATTAACAAGGCAGTAGCTAAATTAGCAAAAATTCACACAATTTGAAGCTAAAACACCCGTAGATTTAACCTTTAAGCATGAATATCAAAAACCCAGAACCCAAAAACTAAAACCCCAAATAAAAATTAATAAATCAATTAAAAAAAAACCCAAATGGTACCTGCTCTGGGACACGTCATAGATCTGACCCTTGATAGCCATGAGCAGAGGCTTCTTGGAATCAGAGCCGTCGTACTGCTTCAATTCTTCTTCGGTGATCTCGCCGAGCTGGACGGGAGGCGGCAGAGGCTGCATCTCCTCCTCCGAGCTCCTGGCCCGCTGGTGGTTGTCGGACGACCCAAACAACCCCGACGCCACATGATAGATGGCCACAAGCACAGCTAGCATAGTGAAGAAGGTCGTCGGAGAGAGGCCTGTGTAGGCCGCGATCGCCTCTTTCAGTGTTTCCCACAGTTGCAGAGACATTTTTGGGATTTTAGAGAGAGAAAGTGGGATGAGAGAGAGAGATTGAAAAGGCCATGAAATTTTTATCAACTCGGAGTCAGATGGGGGCTGTGGGGTAACGTTGTTTATTGGTTTAGTTTGGTTAATTCGTACCACTGGTCCCACAACCACTCCCACCAACTCTAATTTTCATTTTTCTGTTTTATTTTAAGAGTAAATTGCAGCAGTTGTTCTTTAATTTTGACTCAAAATGATCTATTAATTAAAAATTCATTATTATTGGTCCCTCAATTAAAAATTCATTACCATTGGTCCCTCAACTTTAATCCAACAGGAGAAATTGTCCCTCAACTTTAACCCAATTGGAAAAATTGTCCTCAACTTTAACCCAATTGTAGCAATGGTCTTTTCAACATAACTCCTTTTGACAAAATTCTGACGAACATGATGAAAATGACCATAGCAACACGTTTTGATGAATTGAAGGACCCAAATTGTAACAATAGTCATTCCAACATAACTCATTTTGACAAAATTCTGACGAAGTTGACGAAAATGACCATAACTACACATTTTGATGAGTTGAGGAACCAATGGTAATGAAATTTTAGTTAAGAGACTATTGCTCTTATTTGATTAAAGTTGAGAGACCATTGCTACAATTTATTTTTATTTTAATTTAGTTTTTTAGTAACTTACTTCTAAATTCTAATTTACCTCTATATAAAGTTCTTACTTTTTTTTTTGTTCATTATGCTGTCTATTGATTCACATTCACGCAAGAGAAATTAATCAAGTGAATGGTACGTCCAAAATATAAATGTTAAATTGACGATTTGAATAACAAATTGGTAAATGGTGTAAAAATTCGTACTTAGAATTCTTTTTATCAATCTAATAGATGGAAGTGTTACATGGATAATTCACAGAGATACAAGAGTATGCATCAATTCAGTTAAAAATAAAATGAAGCGGAAAATCAAATTTAAAAAAAATAAAAAGCGATATCATTATCACATTTAAAATCAAAATAACAAAAAATATTTCTCTCAATTAATATCATAACAAAAAATATTTCTCTCAATTAATATCACTTGTATAAAAAAAAATTATAATTAACTCTTCAATATTAAAAGTAGAAAAATAGAAAACAGAGATAGAGAAGATAGACCAAAACACGTGAAAATTGAAATCATCAAGTTTTGGTCAATGATATTTTTGTATATTCTGAATTTTATAGGCAATAAAAGGGTGGGAATGAGATTAAAATAATATTAGTTTAGTCTATGATAATACACCATAACAAACGGGGCCTGATAAGTAATACTATTCACTTCAGGAGACATTAATTTATAAGTCAAATGAAAAGAAAGAGTATTACAATAACAATAACTAATTATAGTGTCAAAGCCAAAAATTGAAGCTAGCAGAGGCCTCTAAGCTGTATGAAAGAAATTGGAGAAAAAATAATATAACTAATGCGAGAAAAGTTCATTTTTGTAGGAATGGAAAATTTTATAACAATACTATTGTAAAACAATTTTTTTTTTTTTGTTAATTAGAGAAATATAATAAAGTTAGCTGGAAGGAAAAGTACATAAGTCAAATAATACAAAATATCCAACCAAAAACACACAAATAGAAAATTAAAAGTGAAAAAACTTCAGAATAGGCCCGGACCTCTCCTAGTCGTCAAGTGGCTCTGCCAGTGACATTCTATATGATAACGAGGAAGATACCATTCCAGATCCAAACAAAAGTTCGTTGAAGCATGATATCCAGAAATTTTATAAGATAAGATAAGGAGAGCGTGTTAGGCCCGTTAGAGACCACAACTCTGGCTCCAGCCACTAACCCTTCTTCATACGTACCACCTCATGAACCCTTGGTCGTTTCTGTTCCTCATGCACATGATGCACGACGAGTTGTTGTCCTGCATGTGCATGCATGTTATAAATCTTGCTGAGACTCAGAGAAATCTTCAAAACACGAGTCGGTGTCATCTCGGACCGGCTGCAAACATAAACGTAAGGTTTATCTGGGGTTTTGATGAAATGCGATTTCATCGTCGACAAATCAAGCGTGTTCCAAAACCGAGGATCACACAGCGTCGAACGCCACTCCTTGCAAACGGCGCTACAGCTAACGTTTCCGATGTCGGAAGATGAATCAGAGATGTTGGCAAAGCACTCAAAAATCTTCAACAATATGTCAACATTGAGGTCTTCCCATCTTCCCAAAGTCATAGGCGAGTCATCGCATTCCATTGTTTCTTCAAGAAATCTTTTTCGTTTCTTGATCATATCAAGCCAAGCTTAAGTCTTATAAGTTTTTATTAATCAGGCGATTAAATTGTTAATGTGAATTAGAAGGAAAGAAAAAAGTAATATAATGTGAATCCTCGGTTTTGGAAGGAAGAAATTACAGCATACAATACTGGAGTTGTATGGGTTGGGATTCTCTCCGGATTCCTTCCATCTGGATCCTTCAACTCTCTACGTTCTTCGATGGGTGCTAGCTTCAATTGCCTACCCACCACGCCCACACTATCATTTTCCGGCCTTCGGTTGCCCAAAATTGGAACCAAGTCCTACCAAATAGAGATAGAAAAGAGTCGGAGAGAGAGTGAGAAAGGGGAAGAAGATGAGCAAGAAAAAGCAAAAAAAATTAGTTATTTAATTTTTAGCCATTTGATGTTCATTTGAACGGACAGGATTGAAGGATCCGGAGAGGACCCTATTCCAAGTTGTATACGGTCAGACGGTTTTTGGTCCTTTGGCACATCTCGCAAGAGTCCTCGGTTTAATTAATTACAGTAATCACATTATGTACAGTATTAACACATTAATTAGAACGAAAAGAAAACCTCTTCATCATGTAGAGAGGAGACGGAGTTTTATTCGTTCACAAGGCAATACAGTCATCAAAGATTACAAAAGCAAGCTATAGTTTCTAACCCACACGAAAAGTTACAGTCACATTCTCTTGCTGTAATCAACAAGCTAGGGAGCTCACCTCATCTTCTTTCCATAGCCCTTCGTAATTATACCACCTCATGATTCCCTCGTCGTTTTTGGTCCTTTGGCACATCACGCAAGAGTCCTGCATGCATGTTAAAAATCTTTGCAACCGAGAGGCCTTCTCGAGAATAAGCGGATCGAGATTTCTGACAAGTCTCCTAGTTGCAGGAGGCGGAGGAATTTCGATTAGACGGCAATGTGAGATGTTGAGAACTTCCAGGTGTTCTAGGTGATCCAAGATGAAGATCAAAACATCCTTTAAGAGCGTCGTGCACCGGAGGCTTAGCACCTTCAGTTGTGGAAGATGTTCAACTAGTGTTGAAGCAAAGAACATATCACAAGGACCCATGATCTTCAGTTCACTGAAATTTTTGCAGTTCCTTTTAATCTCTTCCAAGAGGTACGGGGGATTCGCTATGCTAGGCATTGTTAGCGATTCAAGCTCTTTCCAGCAGCGAATGGCCTTGCAGATTCCAGTCTTTTTTATTCTGTTCCAAGCCGGCATAACCAGTCGCTTCAGCTGTGGGCACCTGTGATTAAAAGAAACCACCTCATATTCCCCCTTCCAACATTTGACATTACGCTAGCATATAAACTTTCGGGTGAATCACTCGTAAATCACAGCTTGCACTACAAAAGCATACTATCTGAAAAACAAGAAAGGAAGCCAGAACTCCAATACCCAAAATTTAATACTATTTGTGCTAATTAACATAACGTTTTCATCGATGCATATGTCCTGAAGTGAACTAAATTCAAACGAAGTTCTAATTGCGGAGATGGAACCTATAACGTAAAAGATGTAGAGTTTGCTAATATATCTTTTGAATTGGAAAGATATTGAGAAAGAATTGTTTTTGCGGAAAAATGAGTTAATAAACGCTTCCAAATGAAATATAGTACATGGTAAATTGTAAATGTTAAATGAATTAACGCTCTTATACGCGACACACGAGATTACTTTTATAGCTATGGAATGTAAACGCGGATATGCAAACATTAACGGAAGGTGGGATTAAAGTTCTAAACTACAATCATAATTGGAAAAGGTAAAAAAAACATTGAGATGCAAGTTTAATGAGTTACCTTTCAGCAGTATACGTCAACTGATCATCGCTCACAAATAAGTTGTAATGGAAAACCAATGTCATTATGTTTCCCCGGCTGAGACTCAATGAAGTCTTCAAAATACGAGTCAGTGTCTTATCGGACGAGTCTGTCACATAGACATAAGGCTCCACTTGTGATTTGATGAAATCCGATTTCATCATCGACAAATCAAGCTTTTTCCACAGCAGAGGATCACGGCAAACCAAGCGCCACGCACTACAAACGTGAGCAATGCCCGACGTTAACTCAAAGATGTCGAAAGACTGTAAAATCCTCATTAGTAGTATGTCAGTGTTCAGGTCCTTCCATTTACTCACAGGGAGGCCACCGTCTTCCATTTCACCAGCTTCCCAACCACCTCCAAACAGCCTTACTCCGTCACAATTTCTACATAAACACGCAAACGAAATCAACACTCCAAATCTACAATTCACCAAAACAAACGGCAGCCCGACATTTACAATTCAAGGCCTGCGATTTCTAAAGAAAATAACGCTCGAATTAAACGATCGCCTTGAGGACTTGTATCGGAGTCTCACAGTCACAGATGGCAAAGTTAGACACAGATAACTGTCGAAACGAAAGAGCAAAGGATGAAATAACAGATATAACAGAGCACACATACTTTACAGCATCATGCAGATTGCAAACTGAAGAACACATATTTGTTGGCTGACTGGGGATTAATCAGAAATACTAGGTTTTAATTGATTTAATAATACTGTATTTCTGCAAAAATAAATCAATAATAACAACAAACAATCAGCCAAAGACCAGTTATTTTTTACCAAAAAAACACACAGAAATGCTGATTTCATTGGCGAATTTATCCAATTTGCAGCTGAATTAATAATTTAATGCAGAAAACAAAATTTCCATGACCAAAATCAAGAGATCAAACCTTCTTTACACTACTAGATCTCGAAGTTTCCAAATCCAATTACAAATTCGAACAATTTGGATTCATGGCTGCTTAAAAATCCAATTTTGACCAGAATTTTGATGCTTAATTGCACCAACCAGATCTATCCATATCTCAATCCATTCACTTCACAGCTCAAGCACAAACAAAAAAACAGCCAGCAGATGATATGATGATACATGCAGAGAGAGATAGAGAGAGAGAGAGGGAGAGAGAGAGAAACGGATTACATTAGAGTTCTGGTTCTTGAGGAGGGTGTGTCAGTCATCTGGTCTCGGTGGGTGTTGGGCGGCCACACCTGCAAATAATTGTAAGAAAAAAATGTTTCTGTTTTTATTTTTATTTTTGTGCTGGTGTTGTTTCTAAATTCTAATTATTTCCGAAAAAGAATGCCTGATTCTTCGCTGTCCAAATTACTAAAACGGGCCTATTAACTTTACAGCTACCAGTCTCCCGCCCTACCTACTAGAATGACAGAACACAACTAACTGTCTCTCTATCTATAATTATAATCTATCTACTTTCTTTTTTGGGCACGTGCTCTTCTCCCATCTCTGTGTGTATGTCTCGATGATTCCGAGAATCTTCTAATCATATTCGTTCATAGTATATAATGCAGTTAAAAATCATTAAAAAAAATTTTATTTAAAATTAAATATAAACATTATCTGATGAAAATTGATCGCATAATGTACAATTAACGAATATAATTCGTATGACTCAGCCTGCAGAGACCGCAACCTGCGGGAGTTCAGTCAAACTCAGAATACTTGGCCTCGTTCCAACGCCAACGTTGTTGTACTTTTGATTATTAATTACAGTTTTTGTATTTAAACGCCATCACCATTTAATCGAAATTAATTTTGTAGGTTAAATTTGTAAATTAAATGATATGTCATCAATAGAAAATGAATACGTTTATTAACGTTTGAGTAATAATCCAATCATTAACTTTCATGTCATTTAGTTTATAAAATTTAATCTTCTTAACAGTACTCCACTAATTAACTTCATTTTTGGGTCTGATTATTATTTATGACCTAAGATTTTTTTACGATGGAATTTATGACAATAGTTGGTTCAGGTGTTTTTTTTTTCCTTCTCTTTTTTGGATCCGATTTGGATTCTCTTTATTTTGCTCTATAAACTTTATATATTTAAAAGGAGAAAAAAAATACACTTGCGAGAAGTGCAAAATGAGATTACAAACGATGAAAGATGGAGACCGGAAATACAAAATACAAAACTTTTCACTCAAAATAATACCATCTACAAAACTGATGAATTTCGTCCTTCAGGAAGGCGCTAAGGAGATTCCAGCATTGCATCTTGCTCTTCTTGCTTTTTTGGTCTGTTGCCAGTGATTTCAGCAACCACTTTTTGTCATGCCTATTTCTTTCCCGGCTGCTTCCTACTGCCTCCAACCTGAACTTTAACTCTGTACCTCTATCAAGTGTCTTGTTCCAGACACGCTCAGGAATTCCAACTTGCGCGTTACAAGCTGTTTCCCGTACAAACTGACGAGAGGATACAATTTCTCATTTGCCAATTGAACCTCCTTTGCTTCCTCCAATATATAGTTTTGCTTGGAAGTATTTTTAAAATAAGTGAAAGTTCATTTGGTGAAATTATTACACGCATCTCATACCCAATGCCTCATTTGCTTCCTCCAATAAATAGTTTTGCTTGGAAGTATTTTTAAAATAACTGAAAGTTCATTTGGTGAAATTATTTTTGGGTTTCAACAGCACTTAAAGTGCTTTTTGCTAGTTCCAAAATATTTTTAGTGCTTTTAGTGATTTTAAAAGCACTTTTATTCGTCTTCACTTAAAAGTGAGAGATCTTAGGTTTGAATCTCGTGACGGCGAATTTGATACTAAATTAGGCTGCCCATTGTGTGACTTTGCCGAACTCTCCCTCCCCTTAGTGTAAAAATATCGATGTACGCAAAAAAAAAAAGCACTTCTAAAAGAAGCATGTAACTGCCAAAATATATAAAAAAAGGACAATGCTATTCACACATCCGTTTTTAACCCTAATCCCTATTACTCGAAATCTATTTATCTGCACCTTTATCTTGCTCTCTTCCTCACTACCCGCCCTTGGCCACCTCCCCAAACCACCAACATTCACCTATCCATCTCTCCTCCCCACCGGATTCATGCCACACCCTGACACCCCCGACTATTGTCCAAATCAAGGCCACAACCCCCGCGAACCTAACCACCCCAAAACCTACCTTCCCCAGCCGATTTCATATTCCCAGTCCTGCCCTCTTTCTTTTTTTTTTTTTTTTTTTTTTTTTTTTCTCTCTATATATGCAGTATGCCCAAGCACCAACACTTCAAGTGCGTGGAAAACGAACCCAAATTAAAACGGAATGCAAAGGGATTATTTGTAGATTAGTAAGTAACGAGCATTCACTCTCGTACACCATATATCTCAAGTACAATTTCCCTTATCTTAATATTGTTTGTATATACGAATAAAAAACATACTTAATCATCTTCTGATCTTGACCCTTAGTTAGGCGGACCAATTAATAACATGGTACCACATCATAAGAAGGGAAACAATGTGTTGGAAGCATCGAACAATAATATCAGTAATATGAAGGGAATCATACGTCAATAGTGTTAACGTGTCGATATTAAATAGTCATACCAACTAGTTGTTACGTGATGAATACAATAGTGATAATGTGTCCTTACTAAACGATTAGACAAGTAGTTGTTAAGTGACAGATACAAGTCTTTTTCCTATACAAAACTTTAATGGGATTCATTTTCCAAAACTACTTTTGATAATAAAATCAATTTAGATCTCTCTCTCTCTCACGCAGTTTCATACTTGTTTTTGAGCTTAAGTGAGGTTGAGAAAGTGTTGGCAAAGCACGAGGGGGGGAAGGAATCGAAGGGGATGAGGATAAAAGGCATTGCTTAGACCACGTAATGCTGAGGGGGACAAAGAGACTCTGTCCACTTTCTCCCATAAGTAAAATTGAGGCACAAAAATGTCCAACACTCCCTCCAATCCAAAGACCCTCTGGCCTCCACCTTCTCTTGATCTGCTCCTTCGCCACCAATTTTATTATATATTTTCATCCATATGCATTAAATATACACCCCCAGTCCTACTACTCATCTCTTGTAAAATCAATAAAAATTAATTCCTAAAAAAGTAGTATAAGTGTGAATAATTATTGGTTTCTATTTTGGAAATTCCATAAAACCCCTTTTTTTATTTAAAATTTAGTCTTATTAATGAGATAGAAGAGGGTTCGAAACTATTACATTACTTTAGGAAGGTGGAGTTTCAAAACCAGATTGTTTGCGTAAAAATCCAACACTCTATCCACTAGAATATTATACTACATGCCATAAAACCCCATTTCTTTCAGTTCTATATGTACATACATGATTTACAAGATCGACCAAAAAAGAAATGCATGATTTACAGGTAACTGCACATGACTCATTGATCTAGCGGAAAAAAAAAATATAAATGGCAAGATAAATTAGTAGAGAAATCTATGAAATATACGCAATGATTTGACGGTGGTTTCAAAATCTATATATGATGTCATTTCACAGATTTTCTGTTTTTGTGCAGTGGGAGAGAACACAATTCGAAGTAAAAAATTTTAATTGTGTCGGGAACACAAGTAGTACACTACGTGTTTTAATAGAAGTGGTGGAAAATTTTATTTTTTAAGTTATTAACTTTTTAGCACACATATCTCATCATTTGTTTAGTGACACACGTGGTGTACCACCTCGTGTACCGGTCACACTGAAAAATATATCTCTTGCATAGAGAGATTTTTCAGTGTGACCTGTACACGGAGTGGTACACCACGTGTCACTATACAAATAGTATGATATGTGTGCTAAAAAGTTAATAACTTAAAAAATAAAATTTTCCACCACTTTTATTATAACACGTGATGTACTACTTGTGTTTCTGTCATAATTAAAAATTTCTCATCTTGCATGGGACTGCATAAATATCCCATCTACTAACATATCACCTGCATGCATTAGTTGGAGAGTCAATTTCTATATAAGTGCAATGAGGCTTTAGGATTAGTTGCGGGGTCCATACTATATGAAAGTTCAACGTTTGAATCATCTATTTTTTTTTTTAATTATTAGTAATTTTCAAAAAATTTAAAATGCACTTCTCCAATTCAACTTTGGAATGATAATAAGAGATATTGGCATATGTGTGTGTATATATGTGTAGACACACACTATACAGTTGGGAAATTGAATGGCAGACATGAAGAATTGATTATATGAAACAAGTGTTGGAGAATAAGATCCGTAAAATAGTTTACAATTAACATGTATATGATTGGTGTTGGCTCTAGAGATTGAATATTAATCGAGCTCTAAAAAAGATTGACTTTGGTTCCAGAGATTGAATACGGACTGAGCTCTAAAAAAGATTGGCGTTAGTATCGGTATAATAACTTGATCGGTTCTTGATGTGGAAATTGGTTTCCCTTGTGACCTTGTCTGGGGTCACTCGTGAGAGGGCATGTTGGAGAACATATAGGATCCCACATTGGTCATATTACAAATAATATGCAATTCATATATGAAAGTTTCACTCTTAATATCACCGAGATCTTTTATGACCAAACACTTAATAATAGGTGGTTAAGCTGAGACAATATTGATAATATTTGTAATGAATATGTTTGGGCTTTGAAAACTTTATCAACAAGTTGACAACAAGAAGGGAGAAAAGTAAGATTATATATAATAGCTAGCTTGCTACCCTCCCTATCTACTTACGTAGTTATCTGAAGGACTTATCCACATCCCTCTTCACTACTAGTATATGGTTTATGGCAGCCTAAAATTACGCTTCCTTACCACCACTCCACTTGATATGAATGGGAAATGAAAAGCTTCTCCTCAGGATTCCATTTCCCAGACCAACCACGAATTTCAGGAGAAAGAGAAAGCACAGAGGAAGGTAAATTACTACAACAAGAAGTAGAGAAAAGATCAGAGTTCAACAATTGTGAATGGGATTTCAGTCTCTCGACAGTTGTGTCCTCCAACGACTGCCGCGGCGCCGCATCCAACACCCTCGGTGTAATCGAGTTCAACCCATCAAACACCGTCTTAGCCACCGGCGGAATCGCCAGAAAAATCAGAGTTTACAGCCTGAAATCTCTATTGCCCAATTACGATAATCAAACTTGTGGAAGTTCAAGTGATACTATGGCGGATTTGATAGACCACGTAGATGCATGCGACTACACCATTTGCACTCCCGCCAAGCTCAGCAGCCTCCGCTGGCGGCCCGGATCCGACGGCCGGGTCATGGCCTCCGGCGACTACGACGGCGTCGTCACGGAATACGACATCAAAACAAAACTACCCATCTTCGAGCGCGACGAGCACGGCGGGCGCAGAGTCTGGAGCGTGGATTATTCGCATTCTGATCCGGTTCTCGGAGCGTCTGGCTCCGACGATGGGACACTACAGATGTGGGACCCGCGCTGCGAGGGCGGGGAATGCGTGGCGAGTGTGCAGCCCAGTGACGCGCGAAGTCCGGTCTGCTGCGTGGAGTTTGATCCGTTCGGCGGCGCGCTTCTGGCCGTTGGATGCGCGGACCGGAAGGCCTACGCCTACGATGTTCGGAAAGTGGCGGGCCCGGTTATGGTCTTCGACGGACACAGGAAAACCGTGACGTACGTGCGGTTTCTCGACAGCCGTACGGTGGTGACAGCTGCAACGGACGGGTGTTTGAAGCTGTGGGACACGGAGGATTCGCGGGCGATTGAGACGTACAAGGGGCACGCGAACAGTCGGAGCTTTGTTGGGTTATCGGTGTGGAGAAACGGAGGGCTAATTGGATGCGGGTCGGAAAATAACCGGCTTTTCGTGTACGATAAGAGGTGGGGCGAGCCCATTTGGGTCCACGAGTTTGGGGCGGTGGCTGCCGGTGGCAGTAGTGGTGGGTGCGGTGAGGAGGAAGGCGCGTTTGTGAGTAGCGTGTGCTGGCGACAAGTTGGTGAGGAGCAGTGCACGCTGGTGGCGGGTGGATCAGATGGGGTTTTGCAGGTTTTTCTGGGGAGGAGGAAGTCACTCACGTCGGATTAGAAATTGTTGAAAATTCAATTAATTGAATATTTATTTCATAAAATTTATTGAGATTGTTCCGAGAAAAATATTAGCACAAAATTAAGATGCCATTTTGTTATTGTTAAGGTTGTGTGAAATTAGTTTTCTAACATTATATTCATGCAGCTATGTATCGTCCCAAGAAATATTAAGAAGATTCTTTTAAAGTGAGATTTTTTATAGATTTTTTTTCAATTCACAGTTTAACGTTCATTCTCGTACCAATATAAAATATTTTTTTCAAAAACATGAAGTGGCATAGATGTCACGAAACTCTCACTTTTGAAAGAGTCTCCTTAATATAATCTTTTATGAGTTTTCTTGAATTATAAAGCTAATGCATAACATCCATGTAGTGCGTTTATTACATGGTGTTTATACCATACTTAGGGTCTCCGTATTTAGACCTCGTATAAATACTTGAGGGACTTAAATGTAATTATGTAATAAAGGAAGGGGCAAATATGTAGTAAGTGATGATCCTTTATTCTATAAAATGACTCATCACCCTCACAATTCGACCGTGAATCTGCGAGAAATGTAAATAACATAAGATGTATTTACATAACATAAGATGTATCGTGGTTCACCCCAAGGTTTGGGCTACGTCCACACTGATATTGTATTTCTGAGGGAGAGAGAGAGCTTCTGAGGGTGAGAGGGCCTACGAATTGGCCTAAGAAATTGGTCTCCCCTAATTGTGAGGGTGAGGAGTCCTTTTATAGAATAAGGGCTCATCATTTATTACATATTTGCCCATTCCTTTATTACATAATTACATTTAAGTCCTCCGAGTATTTATACGAGGTCTAAATATGGAGGCCCTAAAATTTCTTAGGCCAATTCCTAGGCCCTCTCACCCTCAGAAGCTTTCTCTCTCCCTCAGAAATACAATATCAGTGTGAACGTAGCCCAAATCTTGGGGTGAACCACGATACATCTTGTGTTATTTACATTTCTTGCAGATTCACGGTCGGATTTACGTTGTTCCAAGACTTCCGGTTTTGTGCATTTACATTTGACGCCGTCTGTGGGAATCAACACGAAAAGCTATGTCGATTCTTTCATTTTTTTTTATCTCCACCTTGAATCTGCAAAAACCCAAGAACCCAGAAAACCTATGGAGCCACATTCTCTCTGACTCAATCTCTCTTTGCAATTGCACAGACCACGTGCCTGGCCTCCATCTCTCTTGCTTCTGATCTCTTTCACCTCTTCAAACAAAACACCACAAACTCTATCTCTCTCTCTCTCTTGCTACTCTACTCGTGCACTTTCCAAGCCCAAATAAGTACTCTTCTTTCACGGGCGACTTCTCAACAGCCACTGGAATAGCAACATTCATAATGATGTTGCTCAGCCAAGTTATATTCGAAAAGTATGGATGGGGAGTTGCTGCAAAGATCACACCTACAATGCTACTTCTCACTGGAGTTGGTTTTTTCTCTTTGATATTGTTCGGTGGCCCACTTTCACCAGTTGTTGCAAGCCTCGGGATGACTCATTTTCTTGTAGCAATATATGTGAGTGCTCTGCAAAACTTTTTTAGCGAGACGGCCAAGTACAACTTGTTTGACCAATGCAAAGAAATGGCATACATTCCCTTGGATGAGGACACCAAGGTTAAAGGAAAGGCGACAATTGATGTTGTCTGCAACCCAATGGGGAAGTCTGGCGGTGCTCTGATTCGGCAGTTTATGATCTTAACCTTCGGATCACTCACCAACTTAACACCTTACCTCGGGGAAGTCTGGCGGTGCTCTGATCCGGCGAACAGCAGCACGGAGAGATTGAAGATCTTTGACGACGAAAGCCATATCATCAGCTTCAGCATGGTGGGCGGGGACCACCGGCTGTCGAACTACAGGTCGGCATCAACAGAAACTCTGGTCAGACGCGATACAACTCCAGTTGCGGATGATTCATCGACTGGCTTATCTGATGCAATACCTGCTCCAGCGTGCAATGCAATGATTTTCGAAGCACTTTCTGCCTCGACAAATCCTAATGCATTGGACACTAGTGCTATTGCTAGCTTTATTGAGGGAAGAGTGAAAGGAAGTGAGTGCTAAAGGAGCAGTAACAGAATAATTAAAGCAGAAATTAAGGTGGAAAGAGACAGATAGCGTGTAATAGAAAAGAGAAAAGAAAAAGTTGAAACGGGTTGTGTTGGTGAGGAAAAGAGGAAGGCTTTCCTCCAGTACGCCACTTTCTCTGCTTTTGTGTTGGTGAGGAAAACATATTACTTTACTGAATCAAAGACTCTCACAGCTATGCAGTAAGCACTACTGTTGTGGATACAGCTATGCAGTTAACATTACCGTTGTGGATACAACTATGCAGTCAACAATTATTTCTAGAGGAAGCCATAACCTTCACCCAGATCGACAGTAGAGAGGAAAAAGATAAAGCTTCCTATTATTATTCTATCATGATTCTTTTTTGCCAGGTGAAGAGACAGAGAGAATGCGGTGGAAAAGCAAAAACATAGCATAAAAAACAAAAGCAAAGCAGAAAGCAAAAGCAAAAAAAGGAAATGGCGTTATTCCCTTGTCTGTCATCTGCCAAAAGAAAGAAAAATAAAGAGAAAGCAAAAGGGAGGCACATGGGGACACTGCAAAAGCAAGGAATAAACACCCCACCAGAATGATGTAATTTGTTTTTCTTATTTTTCAGAGGCATCTGTATAACCCCATCAGAGGGTAATAAAAAAAAAAAGGCAAAGCCCAAAATAAATGGACTGGAATGTTGTGTGAATGGTGAAGGCCCATAAGCCCAAAATAGCACCAACCAGGTGATCAAAAGTACGTCCAGTACTACAAAAAATTATTCGGCACCCTGCCGCTACTATCACCAACCAGGTGATCAAAAGTACGCCCAGTACTCCAAAATTATTCGGCACCATGCCGCTACTATCACCAACCAGGTGATCAAAAGTACGCCTAGTACTCCAAAATTATTCAGCACTCTGCCGCTATTATCATCAACCAGTTGATCAAAAGTACGTCCAGTACTTCAAAATTATACATGAGCATTAGTCATGTCAATTATACATATACATTCATGAGCATTACTCATGTCAATCATAAACATTCATGAGTATTACTCATATTAATCATACATAAACATTCATGAGCATCACTCATGTCAACATCTATGAGCATCACTCATGTCAACATCCATGAGCATCACTCATGTCAATCAGCTTCAAAAACTTCATTTACAGAGCTCTAGTTTCAAAAGCTTCATTTACAGAGCTCTAGCTTCGAAAGTTTCATTTACAAAAGCTCTAGCTTCAAAAGCTTCATTTACAGAGCTTCAGCTTCAAAAGCTTTATTTACAAAAGCTCTAGCTTCAAAAGCTTCATTTACATAGCTCTAGCTTCAAAAGCTTCATTTACAGAGCTCCAGCTTCAAAGCTTCACTTGCAAAGCTTTACCTACAAAGCTTCAGTGCAGGGTATACAAATACCGCCTCCAAACAACCGCCACTTTGGCCCGTACATGGATTCAATTTGAAGTCTCTAGCCAACATACTCTATTGACCAAAGACTTGGGGGATTATATTATGTACCATATATTGGGCCTCAACTGGGCCTCATGAAAAATACTTGGGGAACTCTAGCCCATTATTCATGTATTGAGGATTGAGCCCTTATTCAATAAAAGGGACTCCCTCACCATCATTAGAAAGCATCGCCGCCTACTGAGCAACCGCCTCGTCGCGATCATCAACTCTAGCCCATACTTATGTATTAAGGAGCGAACCCTTATTATATAAAAGGGACTCCCTCACCTTCAAACACCACAAGCCGAGCCAACCAAGGTAACATAAGCCACAAGCCGAGCAGCCTCGCAACTTGTGCTATTTCTAGTTGAGCATCATTTCACTTCAAGCACCGCCTCATATCGAGTACCAGTTCAAGACAACATTTAGTTACTTCGGCCCACACATGGACTGAATTTCAAGTCTCCAGCCAAAAGACTCTCTTGACTGAAGACTTGGGGGACTATTATTTATACCATACTTAGGGCCTCCGTAGTTAGACCTCATATAAATACTTGGGGGACTTAAATGTAATTATGTAATAAAAGAATGGGCAAATATGTAATAAGTGAGGAGCCCTTATTCTATAAAAGAACTCCTCACCCTCACAATTAGGGGAGGCCAATTTCTTAGGCCAATTCATAGGCTCTCTCACCCTCAGAAGCTCTCTCTCTCTCCCTCAGAAATACAATATCAGTGTGGACGTAGCCCAAACCTTGGGGTGAACCACGATACATTTTGTGTTATTTACATTTCTTGCAGATTCACGGTCGGATTTATGTTATTCCAAGACCTCTGGTTTTGTGCATCAACACATGGCATTACTAAATTGCATGTATTTTCGTGAATTTGTTCCAAGCATTTATTTTTGTTTAAAAGTATGAAATTGATATATAGGGTAGCGTTTGGTACAAAGACGGGATGGAACGGTACAGAACAAGACGGGATGGAATGGAACGGAACGAAACAGAGGTTTCATGCTATGTTTGGTACGTATAGGATGAAATGGACAATTGTCCTGTTCCTCATTTGGTACACGCAGGACGGAATAGAACGAAGGACTAAATGACAAACTTACCCATGTTTCGTTGATTCCATCAACTCAGCCTCATGAATTTTTTGCAAAACTTGGATTTTTTTACAGCCGTATATACGAAGGTGGAGTGAAGGTAAAGCAGAGAAATTTTGCATCTCTTCGACTTCAATGGTTATGCAGAGAATAAACTTGATGCAGATCTAAGATCTCATCTGCATCCCTGCCATTCCTTCCTCTATATATTACCTTCCCATCACTTCCTTCTTCCTCCATTGGTCCATCCAGTGGCGGATATAGGAAATAATATTAGGGAGGTCAGTAAGAATAGCGCACAGCGCGCAAATTTTTTATACTAGAAATAACATGCATATTGCCATTTCATCGAGTCTTCGTAGGCCTAAAGTCATTTGAAAATGTATACTACAAACATGTTAATGTATGCAAGGGGCAGCACCTAAGGTATTCACGGACATTCATCGGGTTTTGGTAGGCTTGAAGTCAGTCAAAGGGCAAGTATGAAGCCAACTCTAATCTTTAAAAGGGCAACACTCAAGGTATCTATGGACATTCACCGAAGTTCGGAAAGTCAGCACCTAAGTTATCTATGAACGTTCATCGAAATTCGGGGGGTCAGCTGACCCCCATGCCCCTTAATGGATTCGCCAGTGGGTCCATCCTCACCCTATCACCGAAAAATTCTCAAATTCCTTCGCAAACCCAATTTCTCTTCCCCTCAAAGTTCATTCCATCTTTCAAGGAGTCTGAGATTTGGGGTTATTCTTAGACACAGATTTTACAAGGAAAATGCTTCACTGAAGCTCATCGACACTGGTGCCCAACTCATGGATGCCACATTCCAAAGGTTCAACATTTTCCGATCAGCAACCGGAAATGGTGCTGCAAATCCCGCGGGGAAAAGGAGGCGGTGGAGGATCTGGAGATTAAGGAGGGGGAAGGGAGGCAGTGGAGGATTTAGTAGTGATGGAGGCCCGGGAGAGAAGGGATATGAAAGAGGGGGTAGCAGATTAGGTTTGTTTTTGTGATTTAGACAGTGTAATTAACGAAAAAGATATATAAGGGGCATTTTTGTTTAAAAAATTATAATTTTGTGTTCCACGGGGTAGAACGAGTCGTTTCAGGGGAAGGATAGAACAAAAATTTAACTAAAATCCGTTTCACAGGACATTGCGTCCCACTCTTTTTGGCGCACCAAACGTAGAACGAGCGCGTTCCGTCTCATCCCATGTATCAAACGGTACCTAAAAGAATCGTCTAATCGTTTAGATATGAGATAACAGTTGAACAAGCGATTCATGAATGCACCCTGATTGGACGAGCCAATTACTCGAACGCGTTCGGTCTATTTTTTGAGCAAAAGTCACAACGTTTATCTTTCTTTCTTGAAATTTTTGGCCCACATCACTCTTTCCTTCCTAGACGTCCATTTCAATCATGCAACTTGCATGAAACCCCGTCTTTTTGTCCTCAATTGCGAAGAGAAAAATTCCATTATAGGCGACCAAACGGGCGCCCCCTAATTGCTAGATCAACCTGATCTACTAGGTTTTACCTTATCCATAATAAAATAGTGAGCTGGCTTGACCAAGAGAGATTTTTCAGTGTAATCGAAACACGAGATTGGTATATCACTTATTATTATACAAATAATGAAATATGTGTATTTAAAAAATGTATAACTTAAAAAATAAAAAAATTCACTACTTATACAAAAATACGTAATGTACCATTCGTGTTTCGATCACAATAAAAAATTTCTCCTTGATAAAAAAATAAAAGAGTGAGCTGGCATTTTGCAGTGACTGCGCAGAGCAGCTTGGATTGTAGTGAGCATAAGATGGCTCACATGGTGTTTGCATGGGTGGTTGAAGACGGTCGCATCTTGCATGTTGTTCTTTGCCAATTGCCAACCAGATAGAACGATTGACAGACCAAAGGACAAATCTATGTTTGATTACAAATTATTTGACCTTTTACTCATTAATTGTACACTACTCGTTTGATCTTGTTATTTAAAGATTTGATCGTTATGGTGTACTTGTTTATAGGTACATGTCTATTTTTGTCAATATTTTGCTTCCAATTTTCCATTTTTATCATGTTATTCGAGAAACAAATATATTTGCGGATTAATTAGGTCTTTCAGCCATCTTAAACCTAATCATTGTATTTGGTTTGAGAAACGTTAGGTATAACAAAATTTATAATTCAAAAATGTGTCACCAATAAAAAATAAGTATGTTATCAACACTTAAGTAATAATTTAATCATCAACTTTCTTGTCATTCGATTTACAAAATTTGTACAAATTTAGTCTTCCTAAATTACCCATTTGGTTTTTCAATTTTTCATTGTGTGGTTTATAAATTTTAACAAGTTGTTTAATCCTTGAAAATCAAGTGCTAACAAAGGTATGTACTTTTTGCAATAAGCACTTCAAATGTTTTTTACAAGATTTACATGCATTTTTTATTTTTTACTAATGATTGGTTCTTGCAATAAGCACTCCAAATAGGAAAGAGATCATCTCCGGATCTCTTCCACCAATGCCACATGATCAAGTGATTCGGATCCTTAAAATTTGATCAAACGGCTAAAAACATGGGTCTCCTTTAAAAGTTATAATAACTTTAGCCGTTGGTTCAAATTTCAAGGGTCCAGATCACTTGATCTGGTGGCCTTGGTGGAAAAAATCCGGAGATTATCTATTTCCCTCCAAATATACCTTAACATTTTAATTAGTAAACCTGGCTCGTTTGTTAGGCTGGATGAGATTGGGCATTAGAGATATGATTGAATTAGCAAAGACTTATAAGACATAGCTTGTAACCCATGTATAAAGATAAGTTAGATAACCCACTTTATGTGAATTCATAGCCTATCAGTCCAATTCTGTCAATCTTACATTTTAATACAATAAACAACAGAGTGAACTCAAATATTTTTTAATTGCGCACAACTTATTCCTTTCAGCCCATCAAACGGGCCAAAGCTATTGTAAGTGTAACGAGTAATTATAGTTAAGGAAAAACTAATGAAAATGGCTTGAAAACTTTGAGTTTTAATGAAAAACCATACACTAACTTTATTTAATAATAATGACAAAATAAATAAATAAATAACATAACATAACATAAAAAATAAAAATCGCGAACAGTAACGTCTGTAAAGAAGCAACTGTCATTCATTGCTTCCCCGGCTGGACCAAGAAAAATCGATGGGTTTGTGATTTTTGTGTCTGTTTCAGTTGTCGCCATGATTAATATCGACTTCTGTTTTCTTCTTCTTCTCAATATCATTTGTGTAGCATGATAGCATCCCCTACCCACCCATCCAAAACTCCATCAGACCCATATTTGATCCAAGATGCTAGAAGACATTACTAGCAATAGATTACAACAAAACCAAGCTAATTTTACCTCCTCTTTTCAAAGGTTGTAGTTCGATTCCATTAGAGCAACTCTCACCGAGAACCCCTGCTTGGATTATCCTACTTCCCATTACATAATTTAACATGCAATGGTACCATAGGGATCCCCAGCTTGCGCATGTCTTGTATTTGGTGGTTTGGGGTCTCAATTAAATTGGAATTTGTCGTGATGGTGCTTGGAGTTCTTTTTGGCTATGGTGGTTTAGAGAGAAGGCAGAGAGTTCGAAAAGAGAGAGAGAGAGAGAGAGTTCTTGAGTGTTCACGGGGGAAAAGGAAAAAAAAGAAAGAAAAGGGAAGAAAAGAGAGTGGGCCGGGTTACAAACACAATACAATGATGTAGTATTGTTAAGTTTCATAAACAGTGTAGTAAATTTCATAAACAGTGCAGTAAGTTTCATAAACAGTATCGTAAGTTTTATAAATAGTGTAAAAGTTTCATAAACAGTGTGAGGACGCATGGGTCCTCACGTCAAATTTTTTTTAATATTAAAATTATATCATTTTTATTAAAATTTAAGTTCTATTGTCATTTTTATTAAAATTTAAAGATTTTTCATTAAAATTTAAGTTTTTTTTAATTAAATAAAGTTTAGCATGATTTTTGACTTAATCCAAATACTTTTCATGAAGGCTCCCTGTAATTAATTGTCTAAAAGGGTCAAAGTCACAACATATTCCTTTTTTTCAACCCATCAAACGGGCCAGAGCTATTGCAACGAGAAATTATAATTAAATCTCTCCCCGTCTCCGCTCTCTCCCACCTCTATTTCCACCGATCGCCGTCGAAGATTACAGACGGTAGGGATTTTCAGAGAGAGAGAGTGAGAGAGAGATGGTTACGTCGGCGGTGGTGAACACGTACCCACTGTCGAGCTACACGTTCGGGACCAAAGAGCCGAAGATGGAGAAGGACACCTCCGTCGCCGATCGCCTCGCCCGTATGAAAGTCAAGTATGTTTCCCCCTTTTTTTCAATTTCCATTTTCCCCCTTTTAATTGATTCCAATAATTTTTAGATGTTAGTCCCTTTGAAGGGTTCTTTTGAGCTCTAAAACCCTAATTTTTTAATCGGCAGCTATATGAAAGAGGGAATGCGGACCAGTGTCGAAGCGATTTTACTGGTATATGCTTTGAATCAACAGCCCCTCCTCTGCACATAATTTACTGTTCATTTTGGTGGGCAAAGCTCATAATTTCCTTGTATGTGTGAAATATTTAGGAAAAAGAAAGAACTTGTTCGATTTCATATTGTATTTCTTGGTTAATTGACACAGTATTGTTAATGATCATTATTTGAGTTCCATAACATGCCCTTACACTTCTTGTTTAATTTTTTTTGGATAGTTAAGTACATTACACACAATTCTTGATAGCATAAAAGGTCGTACCCATTGCACAAGCCTTCCACTTTACGCAGGGTCTGGGAGAGGTGAATGTCGGCTAGCCTTACCCCCATTTATGGAGAGGCTGCTCCCAAATCTCGAACCCGAGACCTACCGCGCATGGGCGAAGACATTTGCCATCGCACCAAGTGCGACCTCTTACAATTCTTGATAGCATGCTTATCAGAAATTATCAAAAGGGGATTCTTTTCTGAGCTGAATGGCTCGTGGCATAATTAAATGAGGAATTCCTGCTCTGGTTCTTTAGTTTTCATCTTCGGGAATTCCGGATTTGTTTGTTTCATGGTTTCTGATAAGAGGCTCCACAAACGCTTTGCAATGTATATTAGATGTTCTTTTAACTTGTTATGTTTTCATGTTCTGGTCCTCTCATCTTCAACGTTATACAAGCCCCCAATTCAAGTTTTTATAATTGTCAATTGTATCGCTGTTGAACATGGAATTGATGCAAAGGACAAGTCTTGACAATTACATTCTTTCTCTGGGCTCAACGCATGTCTTTGCTTTGCAGGTACAGGAACATAATCATCCCCACATACTTCTCCTGCAGATTGGAAACACATTCTGCAAACTTCCTGGTGGACGACTGAAGCCAGGGGAGAATGGTATGACCTTATCTTGTATTTCGTCCTTTTCATGGTGCATGCATTTTTACGGAAGTCGATCTTGTTGAAGACGGACCTGTTTTGTTTTGTTTTCTATCTGGTGGTGGGTCTCTTTATGTTGCAGAAATTGAGGGGTTGAAAAGAAAGCTGACCAGCAAGCTTGGCGCTAATTCACCTACCCTTGTGCCAGATTGGCAGGTACGATTCTCTGATTTACTATCTCTCTGACTATATATGCGAGAGAAATGATGTTAGAAGCTTATAGGGTTATCGGAAAACACATGAGAAAATAACTTCAAAGTGAGTTGAAGTGCGAAAATGTATGAAGATGAATGGACATTCAAGGCAACCAAAAAACGCAGTATAACTACTAGACACATTGGCCTTTTATAGGTGTTTCCTTAGTGTTCAATTTCGTAAAAGTGACCTTGGTTTATGAGAACTTGTAGCATGTCAAGTTCACCATGCCTCCACTTCTATTTGAAATGTTGGAGCTTGAAAATTATGGTTTAGGGCATTTTTATTTTGTCAATTCTCATTTTACTTGCCTTCCCTTGTTGCAGATAGGAGAGTGCGTGGCTATCTGGTGGAGGCCAAACTTTGAAACCATAATGTACCCATATTGCCCTCCTCACATAACAAAACCCAAGGTAATCTGTCAAAACAAGTCCTGGACAGTTTCTGTTGATGACTTTGGGCTACCTATGATTACCCCTTCCTCTCTTTCCCACGCACTGATTTTTTATTTGCCCAATTTTTGGTAATGCAGGAGTGTAAGAAGCTTTTCCTTGTTCACTTATCTGAGAGGGAGTACTTCGCTGTGCCCAAAAACCTAAAACTTCTTGCTGTCCCATTGTTTGAGCTCTATGATAACGTTCAGGTATTGAGATCATATGATCATATGGAATTCTTATGCTCTCCTACATAACATTGGAATTTGGCTTGTGTTTACTGAAGTCTTAAGCCTTAAAAAACAATTGCTGCATCAGAATATTCTCAGGATGATGATTCATAAGTATTATACAATTACTTCGTTATGATTTCCCCTGCTTACCCATCTCTCTGTTTTGTAATCTAAGATGAAAACCTTAAACCTTTTGTTCCTTTCATTAAGTTAATCCTTTTTGTAAATATTATCTAAATTTTCCTGTAAACTCATGGTGTCTCGTAATTGCAGAGATATGGACCTGTTATATCAACAATCCCACAGCAGCTTTCCCGATTCCAGTTCAACATGATCAGTTAATGAAGAAGGAATTATGAAGTTACCGTGATATCACTATTCAGTATACTGAAGATCACGTCTGGACATCATTGCGTGGATACCTAAACTCAAGACCGGATATTATTCTTATAACTGAACTTAAGTTGGTTAGTATGAGATCCTTCAGTTTATCCAGATGAACGAAGCATATCTTGTGGTCTGTTTTGTTCATCTATGTTTGTTTATGATCGTATTTGCTAATGCGTTTTGCATTACTCTTGAAACTTTGTCTGAACAGTGGTTGCGCTGTGCAAGTTCTTGTTTCTTAGCTAGAAGGTTTGTTAGTTACTTTAGACACCGGGAGTCGTACAATGTTGTCTGAGTTATGTTTTCAGATTCTCAATATTTGAGATTTTGTACGATAACTTGTTCTGCTTTTCTGTAACGATGGGTAGGAGATGTATGTGCTTACTTCTTAGAATGTACCTAACTACTGTCTTAACTTTGTGTAATGGTGGGTAGGCGATGGACGCGTTCCCATAGGATTCTTATCGGTTTCATTCTGTTGGGAGCCATGTGGCATGTAATCATCGTTGTAGAATTCGTCTTTGATCAGTAAAATTCTTCCTTTTTTCAAGAAGTGTATTATTTCTTCATATGGTTTTACGAAATGCTGCATATTTTGAGTGAATAGCTATTCTTTTTGAGGCTCACATTGGTTTGAAGTGAATCTAATTTGTTCTACCTTCTCTCTATATTTTGAGTGGCTTTCGATGTCGGGCTCCTGGGTTCCATTAGAGGCATAAACATGACTGCGTCCTGTGTTCTTCCAAATCTTCTTTTCTTCCATTTTCTCTCTTGCACTTTGAGCCTCTGGCCATTGCCCTGCCGAGGCACGCATGTTAGCCAAGAGGACATAAACCCCGGATTCGTCTGTTTCCAACTCAGTAGCCTTCTCGATCACTTCCTCTGCCAACTTAAGGTGACTAGTTTCTCTGCAACCCCCAAGCAATGTTCCCCATATAGCAATGTCGGGGTTATACGGCATTTCCTTCACCATACGTAGTGCTTCCTCCACCCGACCATTTCGGCTCAGCAAATCGATTAGGCAGCCAAAATGCTCAAGCTTTGGCACAATCCCAAATTCTTTATCCATGGAATGGAAGATTCTTTCGCCTTCTTCTACCAAGCCTCCATGGCTACAAGCGAAGAGAGCAGCGGTGAACGTGAAGTCATTCGGCTTCAACCCTTCCTTCTGCATCAATGAGTATATCTTGACGGCATCTTCTGCTCTTCCGTGGATAGCGACCGATCTAATCATAACATTCCAACAAAATACATCCCTCTTTCCTATCTTGATAAAAAGAGCAAACGCTCTGTTTATGTCCCCGCACTTCGCATACATGTCGATAAGGGCAGTCCCTGAAATGGTTCCGAAACGAGACCAATCTTCTATCAAGCTGTGTGTCCATTTTCCGAAATCTAGGGCACCCAAGTGGGAACAAGCTGACAGAACCGAAACAAATGTATATCCATCCGGAACCACACCTTCCGAATGCATTTGCACAAAAACATCCAATGCTTCTTCATATTGTCTATGCTGGTTGTAACTTGATATCATACTGTTCCAAGACACCACATTCTTGCACGGCATTGTGTTGAAAAACTTTCTTGCCGTTCTAAGGTCTCCGGCATTGGCATATACTCCGATCATCAATGTCCACGAGATGACATCCTTTTCCGGCATCCTCTCAAACAAATCACTTGCACTGCCTACATCTCTTACTTCAGCATAACCGGAAATCATAGAATTCCATGAAACGACGTCCTTGTCAGGCATATCATCGAACAACTTTCTCGCACTCTGAACATCACCACCGCTCGCATACCGTGAGATCATGCGGTTCCACAATTCTACAGGTTTCACACGCATATAATCGAACACCTTGCGGGCATCATTCAAAGACCTATAATTTACAACACCAGAGTCGCAGGAATCCAGCATTTTAACATACATATTGAAAAGGGCATTAGCAACCGCCAGATTTGACTCGAACCCATGCTTTACAATATGGCACTGCACTTGTTTTCCTTTTCCGTACCAACCCAATTTAGAGCAGGAGTTCAAGACATATGGGTAGGTGAAGTTATGGGGTTTGATTCCTCTCAGAGGCATTTCATCAAACACTGAGACGCATTGATCGAACGGACCGTTGATATCGTACCCTCTGATCATGGCGTTCTGAATCACAATGTTGTTACTGAGTTGAGGACCCAGTTGGGAAAATATGAGATTGGGATACTCCATGGATCCAAACTCGGTGCTCCGCCGGAGAAATTTTGAGAAAATTTGGATGTTTTGGTTGAGAGAGGTAGTAACAATGAGGACATGGATTTGCTTCAACTGTTTGAACGTGCATTGTGGTAATAGTTTCGAAAGAGTGAACTCTAAGGAACCTCGCATACTAATTCACTAGCTCTTTGGCTCTTGTCTGTCCTTTTAATTCCTTTTTCTTTTTCTTTTTTCTGTGGGTTCAAAGAAAAAAGCAACAGCAGCAACGATACAACATCAGTGAGTGTTTTACAAATGTGCATAAAAAACAATGAGAACCCTGCATTCGAGATTTTGTGTTCGATTTTTTCAATTCCTAATATCGCTTATGTTATAATGATGATAAGTAGAGTTGTGCATTGTTGGCAGAAGAAATTATGTTCTTCAGTATGTATCTTGTGTGACGCTCTTTTTCTTATTAAGTTTTTTCTCCTGTGATTTTCTTTAAGAAGGGTTTTTTTATTTTTTTATTTTATTTTTTATTTTTAACAAAGGCCCACTTGTTTTCTTTTTGGTTTTTTTCCTCGTACATGTTAGGCAGTGTATCTTTTGTAAGATGCAACTCTTGCTCCCAATATTTACGATGGGTTTTGAATTGTCATTTTTTTACTATCCTATGGTATCTATTATTCCGACAAAAAATAATATCGCTTATACTAAATAAAAATCATTCTTATTTACGAATAAAAAATAGAGTATATTATTGGAGATTATAAGAGAGAATGAATAAATATGATCGGTTTTGGTCCCTAGTGACCTAGTCACCAATGTTCATTGAGTCAGATTTTCAATTTGTGATCAAAGTCTCTTCACTTTTTTCACATCACGCTTTTATAATAAATATTTTTATATATATGTGAGCAGTTGATTTGGTATTGAAAAGTAGTATTTATTCCCTAATTTATAGCCTTGTTTTATGATAATTTTTAATAAATTTTAGACGACTTATTTCTAACTAATTAACAATATTATTTAATTTTAATAGTTTTAAAATAAGATTATCTTCATCTTCAAATGCTACTCAAATGTGCTCTAGGGTTTAGCTCAACAAATATTGTTAATTTTAATATTTTTTGTTTATACTATACTTAGGGCATTCGTATTTAGATCTCGTATAAATACTCGGGGGACTCAAATATAATTATGTAATGAATGAAGGGGCAAATATGTAATAAGTGAGGAGCCCTTACTCTATAAAAGGGCATCCTCACCCTCACAAACCTGAAGCTCTGATCCTCATATACATAAGCTCTATCTCCCTCACAAACAGAGAAATACAATATCAGTGTGGACGTAGCCCAAACATTGGGGTGAACCACGATACATCTTGTGTTCTTTACTTACTTGCAGATTCACGGTTGGATTTCTGTTGTTCCAAGATCCCTCCAAATTTGTGCATCAACATTTGGCGCCGTCTGTGGGAATCAACACAAAAAACTATGTCGGTTCTCTTTCATTTTTTCATAAAATCTCACACTATCCACCGTGAATCTGCAGAAACACCAAACCAAAATCCCAGTCCAATATCTCTCTCTAGAAACCCAGAAATGGGTAAGCAGAACAGACACATACTCTATCTCTCTCTCTCTCTCTATCTCTACACATTGTCTCGCTCACTTTCTTCTTCAACACCCTTACCTCCTCTTCATTACCCCAATCCAGCATCTGGGTTCCGTTGTCTTTTCGTTTTCCTCACCTGAGTTTCTTTTATTTCATCGTATATGCGATCCAAGTTTGAAGATTTCAGAGAGCTGAGCTCAAAATTTGTAGAGAGACGAATGATCTGTTTCTCGAGCTCGATCAGAAGGTACAAAATCCTTTAAAATCCTAGATTTTGGTACTGTCCCGTGTCGCCAACTCCTCGCAGTACTGCCTCTTGCACTCATCGGTAGACGCCGCCTCCCTCCCGCGCAGAAAAGAGTCGTTCGATGTGAAGCTCCGATGTCGGAGATCTTCCGCTGGAGAACCGATGGTCCCAAAGGCCACGTCTCGGTCTACGTCGATGACGAGATGAAGCGGTTCATGGTCAGCTCCGATCTCCTGAACCACCCAGTGTTCATCGTACTCCTCAACAAGTCGGCGCAGAAGTACGGCTAGGAGCAGAATGATGTCTTCCGGATCCCTTGCCAAGTGATCGTCTTTGAGCGTGTGATCAAGGTGCTCCGCTTTAGACATGCCCCCTCACGTGACCTGCACGATCTCCTGAACTCGATCTCCAACGACCTGAGATCCTGGGAAGGAATATTGATGAAATCCGTATAAAGAATCTCAAGAAAGTTTGCACTGATTTGGTTCGTGGTGCTAAGGACAAACACATACGGGTGAAGGGACCTGTGAGGATGCCTACCAAGGTTCTGAACATTACCACCAGGAAGTCTCCGTTCCAGCAGAGAGAAGAATAGATAGATCGAGAGAGAGATGGAGGATGAGAATGCGGTGAACGTGAACGTTAGAGCAGAGATGAGGAAGCTGAGCCCTGAGCAGTTGAAGGCCGTCAAAGAACAAACCGATTTAGAAGTCAATCTTCTCCAGGACTCCCTCAATAACATCCGCACTGCCACCTCCGCCCTTCACGACCTCTCCATCCGCCTTCAGGGAAAGAAGATACTCGTCCCACTTACGGCGTCACTTTACATCCTCGGCACCCTCCACGACGCCCACCAAGTCAAGGTCAGGCCAAAGATTACTGCGAACGTAAGATCAGCTTGCTCAAATCTAAATTTGACCAACTTGTCAAGTTCGGCAAGACATACCAGGAATACGTGCAGAAATTGTGCCTAAAGGATTGCATCAGACAGGGATGAGGAACATGGGTGGATAGAGAATGAGCGATGAGATCAAGAAAAGCAAAAGAAGAAAGTAGAAAGAAAAACAATCAAGTGAGTTGCGGCACAAAAGCAAAAGAGAGAGGCACAATAGGAAACAAAAGCGAAAGCAAAGCAGAAAAAACCGAGAAAAAACAGAAAGCAAAATGGAGGCTTTCCTCTGCGAGAGCACATGGGGACACTGCAAAAGCAAGGAATAAACACCCACACTGCAAAAGCAAGGAATAAACACCCTACCAGAATGATGTGATTTACCTTTCTTATTTTTGAATGATGTGATTTATTTTTCTTATCTTTCGAAGACATCTGTATAACTCCATTAGAGGGTAATAATAATAATAATAAAAAAAAAAAGCAAGCCCAAAATAATGGGCTAGAATGTTATGTGGAGGGTGAAGGCTCATATGCCCAAAAGAGCCAGGCCCTCTATTATCACCAACCAGATGATCAAAAGTACGCCCAGTACTCAAAAAATTATTCGATAGCCTGCCGCTATTATCACCAACCAGGTGATCAAAAGTACGCCCAGTACTCCAAAAATTATTCGGCAGTCTGCTGCTATTATCACCAACCAGGTGATTAAAAGTATGCCCAGTACTCCAAAATTATTCGGTAGCCTGCCGCTATTATCACCCACTAGGTGATCAAAAGTACGTCCAGTACTCCAAAATTATACATGAGCATCACTCATGTCAATCATACATAAACATTCATGAGTATCACTCATGTCAATCATACATAAACATTCATGACCATCATTCATGTCAACATTCATGAGCATCACTCATGTCAACATACATGAGCATCACTTATGTCAATATCCATGAGCATCACTCATGTCAATCAACATAAAAATTCATGAGCATCATTCATGTCAATCAACTTCGAAAGCTTCATTTACAGAGCTCCAGCTTCGAGAGTTCCAGCTTTGAAAGCTTCATTTACAAGAGCTCCAGCTTCAAAGCTTCACTTGCAAAGCTTCACCTACAAAGCTTCAGTGTAGGGTATACAAATATCGCCTCCGAACAACCGCCACTTCGGCCCATACATGGATTCAATTTGAAGTCTCCAGCCAACATACTCTATTGACTAAAGACTTGGGGGACTACACTATGTACCATATATTGGGCCTCCGCAACTGGGCCTCATGAAAAATACTTGGGGGACTCTAGCCCATTATTTATGTATTGAGGAGTAAACCTTTATTATATAAAAGGGACTCCCTCATTTTCATTAGAGAGTACCCATTATTCATGTATTGAGGAGCGAACCCTTATTTTATAAAAGGGACTCCCTCACCTTCATTAGAGAACATCGCCGCCAGCTGAGCAACCGTCTTGCCGCGAGCATCAACTCATAACCCATCACTTATGTATTGAGGATCGAGCCCTTATTCTATAAAAGGGACTCCTTCACCATCATTAGAGAGCATCAATATAGCCCATCATTTTTGTATTGAAGAGCGAGCCCTTATTCTATAAAAGGGACTCCCTCACCTTCAACGCCACAAACCGGGCCAACCAAGGCAACATAAGCCACAAACAGAGCAGCCTCGCAACATGTGCTAATTCTAGTTGAGCATCATTTCACATTGAGCACCGCCTCATATCGAGTATTCAGTTCTAGACAACATCTACTTACTTCGGCCCACACATGGACTGAATTTCAAGTCTTCAACCAAAAGACCTTCTTGACTGAATACTTGGGGGACTACTGTTTGTACCATACTTAAGGCCTCCGTATTTAGACCTCGTATAAATACTCGAGGGACTTAAATGTAATTATGTAATGAATGAAGGGGCAAATATGTAATAAGTGAGGAGCCCTTACTCTATAAAAGAGCCTCCTCACCCTCACAAACCTGAAGCTCTGATCCTCACATACAGAAGCTCTATCTCCCTCACAATCCTCTCACCAATAGAGAAATACAATATCAGTGTGGACGTAGCCCAAACATTGGGGTGAACCACGATACATCTTGTGTTCTTTACTTTCTTGCAGATTCACGGTCGGATTTACGTTGTTCCAAGACTTGTGCATCAACATTTTTAAAATAAGATTATCTTCATCTTTAAATGCTACTCAAATATGCTCTAGGGTTTAGCTCAACCAAATCTGCCACAAAACCTTAGAATCAAGGTCATCCACTAGAGGCAAGTCTAGTCTCCCTTTTAAGCTTACTTTTTTGTGCAACTTTATTCTACCACTTATGGTACATATATCAAATTTGTAACCATAAATCATTATCTCATGACACTTGCCCGTATATTAGTATCGATACGTTGTTATTTTGTTGCTGCTATCTATGAAATAATACGTACGTGGGTACATTCTTTTTCGTTGATTTGAGAATATATCCATGTGAAGTTTATTCGAAGAAATTTATACCGATGTTATTAAACATAATATCTATTTTTGTTTTTGTTTTGAAGAATGTACCTATGTTTTGGTTTGTTTTGAAGAATGTACCTATGTTTTGGGTTTGAAGAATCTACCAAATGCTTTATGATACATGGGTTTTTTATTTGATTCGATGAATGTACACATGGTTATTTTTATATATGCATGTTGTTTTTATGCAAAAACATAATTTTTCTAATTTAATATTTTTTCATGTGGTGGGGAGTATAATTTGTTTCTGAATAGTTTTAAAATCACAAATCATGCGTTTTATTCAAAATCTCATAATACAGGCAACTACAAATCCCAATTTTAATTTAAAATAAAATAACGAACATAGAAATATATTAATACTAAAAGTTAGAGACTTCGATCAACTAAAAATGAATAAGGTTTCAATCAAACAACATTGGTAACTAGAAACTGCATCCAAAATTACCCTATAACCTATTGTTAAATAACGTGGAAACCACATATTTTTTATGAATTTTTTTATTTGAACTCATATAACCTCATTCTATACTCAACTTATGAATTGGGTGATGAAGGCAAAGGAAGTCATAGCCGTTATTCTTCTCTTTCCTTTTTTTGGTCAATATACATTGACTTTGTGCTTGGTCATATTGGTTTTGTTAACCAAAAGAAATCCTAGCAAATCTACTTTATAGAGTAATGTAATGGTAAAGATTTTGAAAAGATCAAGAGTAGGATTAACTATTATGATAAGGATTAATAAGCCCCAAGGCATCATTTCCATGTACCCATCAAACAATGTTTAGGAGTTGGTCAATGATTATTATGTGTTTTATTTTTTTGTCATATCCTGTTGTCTTATTTGTGTTTGCCTGTGAAAAATAATCAGTTGTTTAAGCAACCAACAAACTTATTTAATGTGGAAATTAGGGAGAAGGGTAAAGCATTGAGCAACGTAGCACCAATTGCTTTGTTACAGTGTACACTTAATTAATAGATCAAATGTTGTCTTAATCTCTGTCGTTTTCACTTGTGCTAAAAGAATACTATGTAAAGACGAATTAGGGTTTTATTTCTTATGTTTAAGGGTAGATGTTATATCACTGAATCTAGGAGTCCTCTTTCGATTTGAGATTTTTATCATTCATTAGTGACCGAAGATTACAGTTCAGTAATTCTTCATTTCAATCGGACCTCCATGCATGAGAGATTGCAGACAACCCAACTGTCTTCTCTAACATGGAAGAACCAGGAAAAAGAGTTGCATCCATTGATATATGAAGATGCAGATGGATGACCAATGAGTAGTAATACAAAAAATGGAGAACTTGGTGTTTGGCCAAGTTTTCCCAATTCATAAATCTTTGACTTGATTCATGGAATTGTTAGTGTTCTTGATTTATCTGAGTTATGCAATATGGAGATAGAGAGAGGATTGAAGGATGTAAAAGGAATGAATGTTCTTCTTTTCTCTCGCAGAAATTGCAGAGAGGAATATATTTCTCTTAATAGAAAATTGAGTACACTCGTGCATTTCATGATTGTTAGCCTTAGCTGGATCCACACATATCACATTTGATCTCAGCCATACATCTAGCTAATTTCTAGGATCACTACACATGACTATTTTAGCCTTACATATTGGAACCTCACACTTGTCATTCTATAAGACTAAGTGCATACACAATTAACATTCAAGGCTTCTTATTTACTAATCAGCTCATTATTTACAATTCTACACTCCCCTTTAAGTTTTGAGCTGATTTCACTCCAAGTTTATCCCTGAGATAGCAGAATCGATCCTTAGCCAATGACTTTGTGAAGATATCTGCTAGTTGCTTATTCGTAGGACAGTAGACAAAATCAATGATTCCTTCTTGTAGAGCATCCTTGATGAAGTGATATCTTCGATCAATATATGCTTAGTTTTCTTAGTGAAACACAGGGTTCTTTGTGATAGCAATTGTAGCAGTATTGTCACACTGAAGTGGAGTTGCTTCAGTTTGAAATTCACCAAAATCTTCCAAAACAAACCTGACCCAAATGGCTTGTGCAGTTGCTTCTGATGCACTAATATACTATGCTTCTGCAGTTGAAAGTGCAACATAATTCTGTTTAACCGAGGCCCAAGAAAACTCCACTACCAAAAGAGAAAGCATATCCTGAGGTACTTTTACTGTCATCCAATGAACCACCCCAGTCACTATCGCAATAACCAATTAGAATTGCATTTCTTCCCTTCACATACTCTAAACCATAGTCAAGTGTTCCTTTGATATATCTGAGAACTCTTTTGGCAGTTCCATAGTGTTTGTTGGTAGGGCAATGCATGAATTTTGCAAGTAAACTAGCTGCATAGATCACATCAGGTCTTGTGGCTGTGAGATACAATAGACTTCCCACAATCTTCCTATATTGTTCTTCATTTGCTGGACCACTGCCATTATCTTTGCTAAGCTTCTTAGTTGTAACCAAAGGTGTAGCAACAGATTTACACTCACTCAAGCCAAATTTATTCAACAAAGATGTAGCATACTTTCTTTGATGAATAAAAATGCTTGTGTGTGTTTGATTGACTCCCATTCCCAGAAAATGATGCAAGAGCCGCAAATCTGTCATTTCATACTTTGTCATCATGTCTCTCTTGAATTCCTCCAACATTGGTTGATTATTCCCCGTGTACACAATATCATCTACATATAGAGACATAATTAGAATTTCTGCTTCTCCTTTGGTTTTAGTAAATAAAGTGGCCTCACTTTGACTCTTTTCAAATCCACATTGAGCAAAATAAGAGTTAATTTCACTATATCAGGCCCTTGGTGCCTATTTTAAGCCATACAAAGCTTTATGAAGCTTGTACACTTTGTCTTCACTCCCCTTGACCATAAAATCATCTGGCTGTTCTACATAAACCTTATCTTCGAGTACTCGTTTAGAAAAGCAGACTTGACATCTAGTTGGTACAGTTTCCAACTCTTTTGTGTTGCCAATGCAACTAGTGTTCGAATTGTATCAAGTCTAGCCACAGGTGCAAAGGTCTCATTATAGTCAACACCTGGTTTCTAAGCATATCCCTTGGCTACCAGCCTTGCTTTATTCTTCTGCATTGGTCCATCAAGGTTAAACTTGGTCTTGAACACCTACTTAACCTCAATTATAGGTTTATCACTTGGCCTGTCTACTAGCTCCCATGTTGCATGCTTTTCAATCATTGACAATTCATCTTTCATAGCCTTCATCCATGATTCATCTTTAGTTGCCTCATCAAACTTTTTAGGTTCCATAATGGAGAAATTGCATTGAGCTAGAACATCATCCAGGTTCCTCCATCTCAATGGAGAGTGATCAAAGGCTTGAGACTTTCTCATGCTGCTACTCACATCACTTGTTGATTCATGAGAAGATAATAAGCTTGGTGACTGAGCATAGTTTTGACCTTCAGGAGTTGCCCTTGGTGATGTATCCTTAGGCATTTCAGATAACTCATCATGATTGAGCACAGTTACATAATTCTCAGAGACCTACTTCCACTCCCAGGTTGCATTTTCATCAAATACAACATATTTCAAGAGTATAAGATTCTTAGTGAGAGGATCATACACTTTGTACCCCTTTTCACAGGTTGCATAACCTACAAATATGCCCTTGACACTCTTTGCATCTAGTTTCTATCTCAACTCATTTGATATGTGTACATAACATAAACAACCAAAGATTCTAAGATGAGCAATCCCTGGTTTTCGACCACTGAATGCTTCAAATGGAGTTATATCTTCGATAGCTCTTGTAAGACACCTATTCAGTATGTAGACAGCTGTGTGTATAGATTCTGCCCACAAATAGTAAGGTAATCCTTTATCATGAAGCATGACTTTTGCCATTTCAACTACAATTCTATTCTTTCACTCTACAACTCAATTTTGTTGTGGAGTATAAGCCATAGAGAGTTGCCTTTGAATACCTTCATCTTCACACAACTTGTTAAATTCACAGGATGTGAATTCACCCCCTATGTCACTTCTTAGGCATTTTACTCTAATACCACTTTGTAGCTCTACCATAGATTTGAATTTTCTAAAACAGTTCAATGCATCTGACTTGTATTTGAGAAAGTAAACCCACATCATTTTTGTGCAGTCATCTACAAGAAGCATAAAGTACTTATTACCAGCAATGGACTCATTTTGCATTGGCCCACATAAGTATACATGAATTAATTCTAGGGGATTGCTTGCTCTCCATGCCTGATTCTTTAGGAACCACTCTCTATGCTACTTTCCAAGCTGACAACCTTCACAAACTTCATCAACTTCTTCTAAGTATGGAAGTCCATGCACCATTTTCTTCTCTTTGAGTTGTTTTATCCCCCTTAGATGCAGATGGCCTAGCCTTTTGTGCCAGGTCCAAGTAGAGTGAGATAAACTTGTTTTCAGGGCTATATGATCATCAGGTAATAGTGCTAAAGGATAACATCTATTCATTTTCATTTCTACTTTAATTACAAGGCATTCAAGTGAAGGACCATAAAAAATACTGCACATTTTACCTCTAAACAACAAGTAATACCTATGCTCATTCATCTGTCCTACACTTAGTAAGTTCTCTTTCAACCCAGGTAGATACATTACTTCTTTGATGTATTTTCTGCCCTTACTAGTATCAATTACTAGAGTGCCCATTCCAACTATATTCATAAGCTCACCAGTTGGCATTTGTACTTTGCCTACCATATTTGTTCTTATATCAACCAGTAGCTTCTCATTTCCAGTCATGTGGTTGTTGCAATCACTGTCAATATACCATTCACCATTGACAACTGATTCAGAGATAGTGCTATTGGCATAGAATAAGTTCCCTATCACCTCTACTTGATTAACACTGTTTGCATTTTGCACTGATTTGCTTGCAGTGCACTCCCTAGCCCAGTGTCCAAACTTTTCACAGTTGTAGCATTTAGGCTTCCCCTTATATCTACACTCACCATAGTGAAATTTAGTGCATACTCTGCAATGTGGTTTTGTAACTGTCTAACCCATTGACTGTGCATTTTGTGCAGGACTAGCAGGAAATTTCTGCTGAAACTTGGGTTTTAAATCCCATTTCTTGCCCTTAGAATTCCAATTCTTCTGGAACTGAGATGGACCAGATTGAGCTCCACTTCTATTTTGCCCTATTGGACTCACTAAAATAGATGTAAATGCCTTCCCAGTGGTATCAACAATATGCAGATCAAACCGTTGTTCTTGGCTCTTTAAGATTGCAATTACCTCCTGCAATTCTACAGTCTCCAAACATTTTGTATTTTCTATAACCAAACAGATAGGATCATACAGTTTACTTAGACTAATCAGAACTTTTTGCACAAGTCTCTCATTAGAAAAAGATTCATCAAATGTTTTCATCTGATTAATCAATTCATTCAGCCTTGTAAGATAACCAGATAGAGATTCATCATCTCGCATCGTAGCATATTCAAATTCTCATCTAAGATTATGAAGTTTTACCAATCTAACCTGATCACTACCGTGGTATTCTCCATACAACAGATCCTATGCCATCTTAGCTGAATAAACGTTGGCAATCCGAGGGAAGATCTGGTAAGAGACTGCATTTTGTATGATTCCTAGAGCCTTCGTATCCTTCATGAACACAACAGTCATTTCTTCATCGACTGTATCTTCCGATGACCCGTCAGCTTCCTTCTTCTTCTTCGAGTTGGGGGTTCTAATCCCCTTTTCTACTAGATTCCATAACCCAAGAGATTTGAAAATTGTTACCATCTTAATCCTCCAGAACTCGTAGTTCTCACCGGAGAAAATTGGAGTTCTCGCCTCCGAGCTTCCAGATCCAGACATCTTTTGCCTAAATGTTGATTTCTCTTCTCAAATGATAATGGAACTCCGGCGACCTTCACCGAGCTTCGAGTGAGCTTCAATTTAGCTCAGTGACTTCACAGATTCACGCCCAGACTCAGTTGATCCAACCTGGCTCTGAGGCCATGTTAGTGTTCTTGATTTATCTAAGTTATGCAATATGGAGATAGAGAGAGGATTGAAGGATGCAAAAGGAATTAATGTTCCTCTTTTCTCTCGCAGAAATTGCAGAAAGGAATATATTTCTCTTAATAGAAAATTGAGCACTCTTGTGCATTTCATGATTGTTAGCCTTAACTGGATCCACACACATCACGTTTGATCTCAGCCACACATCTAGCTAATTTCTAGGATCACTACACATGACTATTTTAGCCTTACATATTGGAACCTCACACTTGTCATTCTATAAGACTAAGTGCATACACAATTAACATTTAAGGCTTCTTATTTACTAATCAGCTTATTACTTACAATTCTACATGAATCCATTTAGTTTTTCTGATAACCAGATTCTTTACATATTTGTCATAATTGAGTTCTCTCTTAACAATTTAAAACTTCCAACCAAACAAAAATACTTACTTTAGCAAAGTTAGAAGCATGGAAACCCTAATTTATACAGCGCCCCCTCTGTAGGCCACAGCAAAGCATCTTGATGGAAGTCAAAGTTTGGATTGATGATAAATAATTTTAGACTTTGCAGGAATATTTTTTTGATATTATTTACAGTGAAATTTTTACAACGGGATAACACGTGCATAATTAACAACTAATAAACTCCTTCGAACTAATCACATAGGTTTCACCTACTGAACATGAAAGGATCAGTCTAACCACCCAAGTGGATCTAGGATAACTTAAATCATTTTTGGCTTCTGATTCTGACAGTTTCTTTTGCCGATACAACGTTAATTCCTGATGAGGCCAAGGAACCCTATTGCTTTTTTATTGTTGGGAAAAAGCTGTTGTTATTATGATTTTAACTAATAAACTTTGCTATTAAAAGACTGATTAATAATTGGTAATGACAGCTGAAACGCGTCATATAGCTTCTGTATAGCAGTACTCATTAATACCAATCATATGAAGCTTTTAGAAAAAAGACCATCCCATTAAATCAAAGGAAAATTAATTAAAAGGGTTTAAAAATTTTGAGTTTTAATGATAAAGATAAAATAAAGGGTAAAGTGAATAGTACCAAGATTGACTTTTTAATGTAAAAATATGGTTTTTCGTTAAAGTGAACAGTACCAGATGTTTTTCGTTAAAGTTCCCTTAAATCAATGCATCTGGCCATGGATTTACATTAATATATTTTTTAGGTCATTTTAATTTATAATTTACATCAAGAAACTTATCCCACAACCCATTTTAACGACAAGGAGAAGAAGACAATAAGAAACTTATCCCTCAACCCATTTAAAATATGTGAATTGAAAAACTAATATTGTGAATACTGTAGATGATGAGTGTTGCCAATTACCTGTTCATATTCATTTGAATGTCGTTTCAACAATCATTTATCCATGAAAAAAGAAAAGAAAACATGAAGCAGTTTTAATTGAGCACATGGTGAATTTGGATGAAGTCGATATATTTTAGAAGTGCACACTACCGACCAAATTTCACCTTAATTTCAAGTAAAGCATAAGTGTTGAGATTGAAAGATGGTGAGTTATACTTGAGCAAAGTAAAAATATAAGAAACTCTGGCACAAAGAACGATATATTTATACGCGAATTATTTGTCTGACTTGAGTATAAGAGAAAAAGACTGATCAAACTGCCTTGCAATGTGAATGTGCATGTTTAAGGAGATTCAACCTAATGATCCACTTGAAATTAGGCACATAAATTAGGTCAATAGCTAGTGATTTTATTTCGTCTGAAAGAGTATATATGCAGAAAATTAGGTGCAAATGGGCACCGACACACATTTCAGTTTTTGACATGTTCCTTAGGTTAGTAGCTAGAGATACCGACACATGAGGAGAGACTTTTAAATATAAAACGACTCATACTATTAATAATATTATTCTACTATACCAAAAAAATATATATTATGATTCTCCATTTTTTTCAACACCTCCTTATAGAAGAATTACAATTAATAATCTTTGTACGATAAGTAGAATAACGATTGACAAATGGGGGAGCTGCGGTTGGCAAAACAATATTATTTTCTTATTGTGTATCTCCAAGGAAATAGAGCCATACGCAATTATTTTATTTTTTTATAACAAAACGATATTCCTAATTTCCTATCACTGTTTAAATGTAAACTATTTTATTTAAATATACGCACAATTATTATGTATTTTTATCCTTAACAAAGTGAATTGAACTTAATCACAAGTTGAGAACAATGATTGTTGTTCTTCAGCGTCTTTTTCAATTGATTCCCTTGCTTCTTACGTTATCGAATGTATTATTTTTACTTTAGCCTGTCACAATTTGAATAATTGCTTGTTGTTTTTCTTTTTATTTTCGCGTGATCAATTCATTGGTTGATGATCACAATTTGGACAAAGGAATATTATCGAATAATCCAACAGATCAAATCCTGTCTGGCCTTGGATATTTGTATCCGTTGTCCATTTCTCCCCTTTGCATTTCTTTATGTAGCCAGTTCCACTCGATGAGGTTTCAATCTTTCAAAGGAATCGATTTGTGATTAATTAAAGAGAAATGCTAAGGAGACCGACTCTCTTAAAGTAAGACTTTATGAATTTTTCGTCATCTCATGTTACACATTGTTTTATAATGTTGGCATATGAATTGTGTCAAAAATATGAGGTGACGGAGAGTCACACTTTTGAGAGAGTTTTCTTAGCATAAAGAGAAATGTTAAAGAGAATCTCTCAAAGTGAGACACTTTATGAACTCTCTGACACCTCACAATTTAATGTCAACCATGTGTCAATATTATAAAACATTGTGCCAAAAACGTGTGGTAGTAGAGAATCTACAAAAAATCTTACTTTTGACATAGTCTCCTTAATATTTTTCAAAATAAAATATAATCAAAACGAACCCATTTAACAAACCTCCTTTTCAAGGGAAAAAAAAAATTGTCGGTAGGTTAGAGAGAACAGAGAGGTGGTTAAGATAATACACAACGATAATGATTTAGAGAAATGCATGTCAACTAGTTCCCCCAATAGTATCATTAAGCTTGCCTAATAATATAAACACATAAACAATTTTACCAGTAGAGCTATTATCAATTTATTAATCAAAGTAATTAACTTCATGAAAGAAACTTTATCATTTATATCAATCTAGAAGACTTGTAGACTCTTTGTACTTTTTTTTTATGAAATCAATGCATTTTATGCTTTAACAATGCATCTTACTGTTTAGTATTACGGTCTAATGATATTCCTTTTTATTTGTAAGTGTGAGGTCTTAGATTTGAGTCTCGTAAATGGTGAATTCGCAATCAATTTATTCCCTACCTCTTAATGTAAATATATAATTTTATAAAAAAATTAAAATATAAAATCTCCTTAATTTCGTAGCTTTTCTTTGTATTCTTCCTTCGTTGAAGAAAAATGTTTTGAGAAACACTTTTGGGAGTCAACTCTGTCATGATCTCATCCCAATAAGTGACGTTTTGGAAGAGAGTAGTACTGAACATTGTTTATGGCTTTAATCTGGGTGACTCGAGCATTATATGACACCAAGCATGTTGGTCGTTTTCTTGTGTGTTTTTAACTTCAACACAGAGAGCTCTCATAAATCATATGATGCAAAGGTGGCTACACAAATCCATCGACTTAGTTTTAACGAGTAAAACACGAGAAAATCTGTATTCTAACCTATTAACCTATTAGTATAAAAAAATGTACTACCAAGAAAAGCTAAAAAAATTTCTTGTTTTACCAATTTCAGTCAAAACCCAAAAACCACCTTTGAATCAATCTCTGCAACTCTATCCAATCAGGTCGTTCTTAGGTATTTAGAAGTTATTTACGTAGGGTTAGGTTTGCAAATTGTATTCTTAGGCAGCAACTAACGACTTCTTAAAACCCTTGAAGCTTCATATGACCTCATGGTCGAATATGAACGTACAATACTAAGCATAAAATATAAATTTTTTAATTAGTATTGAAATAAAAAAATTAAAAAAAATGGCTCATGGTCGAATATGAACGTACAATAATAAGCATAAAATATACAATTTTCTAATTATTATTGAAATTAAAAAAAAGGCTCATGCTTTGTTAATTCATTTTAAATAGCAGACTTCGAACTAAACATTGCTTTAAGTACCAGAGCAAAATTGAGGTCAGCTGTTCATTCATTGCTCTGCAACCTACCTCCCCAGTTTTTTCTGTTTCTCTTACAATTTATAACATATTTACAAGCTGCAAGTTTATTCTTTGTAGAAAAATGGGCTGCAAGCCATCAGATAAGCCGAAGGCAAAGTATAGAAAGGGATTGTGGTCACCGGAAGAAGACTTAAGGCTTCGAAACTACATCCTCAAAAACGGCCATGGCTGCTGGAGCTCCGTCCCCATAAACACCGGTGAGTTTTGCATTTCCCATTTTGTTTTGCAGCCACACCCCTAAATGATCAACTCAGCCTGGTATTAGTTGTTTATGAATGCCTCAGAGCTATATTTCATTGAAGTACTTATATATAGCCCAAATGAGTACTCTTTTATTGGCATATTAGTCTAATGTTTGAGATTGATTGGGAAAAAATGACAAGAGGAAATTTAGATGAATACTATGATCAAGCCGTTTGGTTATTGTTAATTGGCAAATGTGTGTTAGGTCAGTTACGCAGTATGTCCACATTCTTGGAACCGATTTCGAGCCCGGCTCCTAGTAAAGAGGGAAAAAACCTATTATTATTTCTTAATGTAAATTTTACAATGAAAAGTGACAATGACCTCAGTTAAGAGACGTTAAGAGACGTTTTAAGAATTAATTTATTCATTTACTTTTGGGGTAAACTCTGAGATATATTATCAATCTTTTTTACTAATAGAATTATAATGGAATTGGCTTAAGCATCCCTCTCAATTTGACTGACTATTCATAAATAATAATCTATTGAATGCAGGTTTGCAAAGGAATGGAAAAAGCTGCAGATTAAGGTGGATAAATTATTTAAGGCCGGGGTTAAAGAGAGGGACATTTTGCAAACAAGAGGAGGAGACAATCTTGACCCTTCATCGTATGTTAGGCAACAAGTAAGAGAATCCCATCTTTTATTTTTATTAAAAATGAAATTATTTTCATTTGTTCAAGTGGTTCTAGTTTTTATTCAACCTTAACATTATTGAGGGCAAGCAGTAGAGGATTAGACGAGCAAAGCTACACATCAGGGTCAATGCCATAGGTGATTAATCCATATTTTTTAATGATCTCAGGTGGTCTCAAATCGCACAGCATTTGCCTGGAAGGACAGACAATGAGATAAAAAACTACTGGCATTCATATTTGAAGAAGAAAGTGGCCAAAGCAGAGGAAATGGAAGGTCAAACCAAATCCCAGTACACAAGTACTTCAAGCTCAGAAATCTTAGAGTGTTCACCATCTCCCCAAAAGCCCACAACATGTTTTAATTCGAGTCACGAATCAGTGCAAAAATCACCGCCATTAGTTTCACAGCTCGATGACTTGTCCAAAGATCAGAGCTGTCAAAGAAGCCCTTTACCAAAGATTTTGTTTGCTGAGTGGCTCTCCTTAGACCAGGTTCATGGTGGGAGCTTTGCCAACAACATCGGTGATCCCTGGGTTTTGAAGGAAGGATTTGATCATAGTACAACTTCAAATAATCTGCAAGCAGATCATGATCTAGGACATGGTTTTGTGTTGAACGATGAGGGAATATTTGGCAGTGGTTTTCATCATGGGATAAGCCATCATCATGGTTTGGGTTTGGAGATGATCAATTCGCAGTTTAAGTTCGAGGAACAGATTTCAGGACCAGGGTTTGTTGATTTTGTATCAGGGGGTGATTTGTACAGTGATTTCAACTTGCAGAATGATGCAATGTATTTTTATAAATAAAAAAAAAAGGTCGTACCCAGTGCACAAGGCTCCCGCTTTACGCAGGGTCTGGGAGAATGTACATAATTTGATTATTTTCTTCCTCTAAACTGGTATATCTTGGCAACAAAAACATTAACCTTCGTGAATGAGATCGAAGAAATAAATCGGTGAAACCCAACACGATGAATTGGAGGCTTCTTCACCCTTTCCCGATACCCCAATTAGTTTAAAATCATGAAATTTTCATCTGCATGGATTATGGTGACCCAGAGAATAACAGTGGCAACAGCAATGAGCAATGTAATTGGTGTCCATTTCAATGCAATAACCTGTTCAGAAAAATTAGCATTGGATCAAGGATGCAAAGAAATTAATTGGTTTAGTACATTATCTTTCCATTAAGTATGAGTTTCGAGTAAATGGACCTCGAGGAGCGGTGAAAACCCAATGGATGAAACAGCTTGAGGAGGAGGAGGAGGAGGAGGAGGAGTCGATGGCCTTTCCAATAGATCTGTAATTTTAAGATTTTAGAACAAAAGAGGGAAGCAGATGATGTGTTCATGCATGCCTTAGCGATGAAGGTAGCAATAAAGATGAAATGGATGTTACCTGAATGTCTCCATCTCTCTATGATTTCTGAAAGATTTTCAGTGGCAATGTCTAAATCTTGTTTCCGGTTAGCATTAAGCTTAGACAGATTAACCTGTGTTCTTGTATCGATGTATTGCTTTCTTGTACTCCCAATTACACCATCTGTAGGACTTAAAATTTGGGGTGGTTATGACCAAAATTATTATTTGTTCAATCTTCTAATTAATAATTATTAGAGCGCGATCAGTATCAAGTTTTAGCAGTGGGTGATGAAAATTACCGAATTTGACGAAGGAGTACGGTCTTATGATTTTGTCAATAAGGCTACTGTCAAACTTGTCAAATTCCTTCTGCAATTCTTGCAGGTAACAGAAAGCTAGTTTTCTTGGATATGAAGATTCACACAACGTGATGAAGGCGATTCCCTTCTCCACCAAGTAACTTCATTATAGCAAAGATTAAGTAAAAATCATATAAACACCACAACCTGTTTATGACCGTGAGATTTCTCAAAGCATTTACAGTTCATTTACCTTGATTTTTTGGGGATTTCTGTTCAAAAACGGAAAAAGAATGCAAATTGAAAAACAGAGAAGGAAAGAAGAAAAAGGATACTTGAAGCAGTGATGATCGACACGAATGGTCATCCTGGAAGGAGGCAAGGCTCCTCTGGAGATTTCTTTGAATATGAACTCTCCTTGTTGCTTGTAAAATGAAGAGTTTTCGCGCTCTTCGTTCATATAGGACGGTCCTTTGGCAAGACAAAGGCTATCACTTACCCTTCCAACAATTGTAAGCTTGACCATATCTACCATTTAGGGGAAGGAAGTTATGGAGCTTTATTTATAGAGGGATGAGAGGGGAAGGCAAATGAAAGAAATAACTTGGACATCAAGTTATTCCGTGGGGTAATGGATTTGGAAGCCATGGAAATATTCTTTTCCTTTCCCCTATTGCTCTCAATCTTTGCCAAGCGATGTTCCCTCTCCTTCCTTTTTTCATGGAAAGGAAGAATTTGAAGTTACATTCGTATCACAAATAATAATGGTCATCAAGATTCCACATTTGAACATTCATGATTCTCGAATATATGAAACAATAATCAAATTTTTTTCTTTAGAATTTCATTATTATACTTATCAATCACCTTTAATTATTAGAAAACCGCCACTGCGATATCCCACTCCAATTGAGATGTCACTATGGTAGTATCCTGAACAAAAAAATTAAATACGTGACAGTGCAAATTGAAAGCTAAAATTCATGTTGCTATATTAAACATAGTGTAAGACTGCATATGATGGACGTTCCCCCACCCCTCCCAAAAAAAAACCCCAAACCCCCCACAAAGTTGGAAGCCTTGCTGGCTAAGGGTCGTCCTTTATTATCTTATACATACGATGCGGCAGTGGTAGTATTACAAGCCTATCACACACTCTCTCTAAGTCCCAAAGCTTTTCCTAAATGTGCTTGATCATTGAGCAGATACATAGAAACACAAAATTGATCTTTTACAAAATAAATTAAGTTTATTTTTCTCCAAATTTAGGGTATATACACAAATACGAACACACACAATAACTAACAATGACCCCATTGTGTGAAGAAAAAAACAAATCTAAATAAACAAATGTACTCCAAACAAACCAAATATACAAATCATCAAATGTTTATCCATCGGACCCCGAATATTAAGTTCAACCTGGAAAGCAACCAAGGAGCTTCTTAGGAGCATACCCCGTGGCACGGTACTTCGCAGCAGTTTCCTCCGCCTTGAGAAGATCTTCCCCGCGCTTAGCTTCAATCACCGCCCTCTTTTCTTCCGCAGCCTTGTGGATTAAAGCTATCTTGTTCTTCATCTGTTCCACATACTCGGCCTTCTTCTTCTCCAATTGTTCCTGCTCTTGCACAAAGTGAAAATGTCAGAATTGGAAACAAACAGAGTGTAAAGCACCAGAGCTTTTCGTATCAGAATTCAAGCACAAAGTTAAGGTTTTAGGAAGAAATGCATGAGTTGTTACCTCGATCTTTTTCAGCTCAGCCTCCACAGTTGCCTTCTTGGTGTTTTCCCATGAACCGATGGCAGATAGTTTCTTGTGAGCTCTGATAGCGAACACATGCACTTTACGTCCCCGCACGTGTGGCGGATTTTCAAGCCTACACGTGGACAAGAATTGAGTGATGTGGAGCGCGTGTGGCCGTTTGACTTCACAGGAGGACAACCCGCTCTGATACTATGATGAAATTGGGATTCCACCATAAAACCAATTGGCAATATGAGGAGTAGCCCAAGATCATATAAGCACATAGCAAACCTTATCTCTCACCGATGTGGGACAACTCTCAACATGCCTAACCCCTTGTCCCAACTCTGAATCCCCCTCCCCGTGAATTATAGTAATTTAGAGTAGAATGTCATCTTGCCAAGAAACGACATATCAAACATGATGATTACTCAATTAGGCTCAATACTGAAGAAAGACCTTACTTATTCTCTGCCTTTGATTTTTCACTTTCTTCCCATGCTCTGATAAGTGACAGCTTTTTTTCTGTTGCAACTCTTGCTAGCACAGCATCTGAACAAGAAAATGATAATATGCGGATAAGTTTAACCTAGTTGATTATAATGTGTTCAAACAAGCCTGAATCAAGGGACCTCATGATCAAACCCCTAAACACTCACCCCGATCGACGGAATCCTCCTTGCTTTTCTCTTCTGCAGCAGGTTCAGAAGGCTCTGTGGGAGAAGAAAAAAAATGAATCATTCAAAACTTGATATGCAAAGAATATAATATACACAAGTAAAAGCAATGGTAAATCCATCTAATGGAAGTAGGGAGATTTCTTACTTTGAGATTTTTAAGAGACCGTTTGATGAACATTTTGTTTTTAGTTTTTATAAGGTAAATTGTGCAATTTTGTAGCTAAGTTAACACAGCCAGAACAGAAGTTGAAATTATCAAGAGAAATTGGTTAAAAATCAAATTCCAAACTCATTAAACATTAAGTATCGACAACATAGTGACAAAAAATTCACGACATAGCAATTAGATGTTGGAATCTAATCAAACTCCTGAATATGAAATATAATTGTGACCAGGTTGAAGTTATTTACAACAAAATACAGGGCAAAATTTTGGGAGACGGAAATAAACTCAGAACAATAAGAGAAGCCAAGCAAGGCCAAGAACTAGAAGCAGGACAGAATCAAATTAATAATTATAAATAAAACCACAAAATTACGTTCAATTACATGCATATATGTCAGACAAGCAATCCTAAGTCATCCAGAAAATCTGATTAATTCGTTTTCGTGGGAAAAAGAATTGATGGTCTGAGATTTTATTTTTCTCACCAACCAAACAGATAAAGTTATCAACTTTAACAAAACAACAAAAGAATATAATAAAGTGGAAAAGATTCAGAGAGAGAGAGAGGAGAGAGAAATATACTCTCAACAATAGCAAGAGCTTTGGACTCATCAGGCTCAGCCTTGTTTTCAGGAGGTGGTGGTAGAATTTCAGATTTGTCCTTGTGGGACTCAGGATCTTTTGGAGCTTCCACAACCGGCTTCTCTTCCTCCACCGGAGCCGGAGTCGGAGCAGGTGGAGGATCTGAGGGTGACTCGGGTTCTAGCTTCTTGGGTTCCTCTGCCTCTGTCATGTTGATATTGTTGCTAAAGTTGGTTTGGGAGTGGAAAAAGCCTCAAAGTTTTCTAAGGGAAGTTACTGTAGTGTTAGAGTGAGAAGATTAAACAAGCAACGGAGAGAGAGAGAGAGAGAGAGAGAGAGAGAGACATGTTTGGGATTGTATAGGTGGTATAGTTTATGGTTGGGATTGTATAGGTGGTAATAGTTGGAGTAAGGTAACTGCTATTTCAAAGCGCATTAGCTCATATTAGCTCATACAACCTTAGCTGGAGGGTAGGTACAAGTGGCGTATTATGAGTTGGCATACTTTGGAGTAAAAAGACGGATTGATTGTCACTTTCGAGAAATTTTGTAGTGTGCCGAGAACACGGTCTGATACAGTATCATAATACAATTGGTTGGAATTTTCTTTTTCAAATTTTCAACCAATTATATTATTACACTTGGTGTATCGAATCTCTCCCCTTTGTCACTCTTCCATGTTCGTCCACACATATAGTATACTCGCATGAGGTGTTTACTTATAAATAATAGAAAAAAATAAGAGAAATCGGGTAACTTGAAAATATGAAAAATAATAAATGGAAATCGGATTAACTACTATCTCATTCTTGATTTTGAGTTATCTAATTACTGATTTTAAAGCAGGCTATCGTAAGCATGGGAAAATCAAGATTTATAATGGTTTCATTTCTCTTCATACTCATTCTAAATTAGTGACACTAAGTATCAGCGTGATTGTCACATGAATCAAGAAACACATAGTGTGACATGTGTAATCAAACGATTAAGAAATAGATTCACTTGTGAAAACAATAAAATGGATGTTATACTTTTGCGGTCCTCTCTATGCAAGAGTCACAAGGTACGTAGTGTGTTTTATTGTCAAAAATCAAAATCACATTATTGTTTTCTAAAACATTGCGTGCTGTGCATGTGATTATTGTACTTTATGTATACAAGAATTATACATGTTTTCTATATGTTAAGTGACTCCTAAATAACTTAATTTAATTTAATTTAATAGTCCTCTAGGTCTAGAACGAATTGAATATGATTTTGGTCCAAAAATGGAAGCAATTAGTAACTTTTTTTTTTTGAGATAGTTTTCCGTTTGAATTCATTCAATATAATGATGAATTTCCATATTTGCACAAAGACCTTGACAACGTATCTAGATTAAGTACTAATAATGGCTTTGCCTTGGTAATTAAAGTTAATGTTCTTTATTTTGTGGGATTTTGTTTTTAATATATGAGGTATTTCACTACATATGGGTGACAGACTAATTCCACTTTTCATGCAGTTCTAGTACTGTATGAGACGATCAACGTATTTTTGACTCATGGATCAAACGGTAGGCTAAAACAAAATTATACATATATAAAAGTTCGAATTCGAGTTGAGGCTCCAGCTCTTTACTCGTTTTCTACAAAACCAACCGATTGAAAGGTTCCCCTTGAAATTGAATTTGATTTTAATTGATTATTATTAGGGAATTTAATTGATTGTTCCAAAGGAGTACTTTGGTTCCATATATATAAGAGACAAATTTAGCAACATCGTAATTAATAGGGGAATTCATTTTTGTACGAGCAAAAGAATAACAAGAGATGATCGAAGATTCTATGGTGATATGATATCATATGTGAAAGAATCTTGGTGGGCCACGAGGTAAAAGTGACTTGCTACCATTCCCTATCAATTTACTTTCCAGCCAACCCCGTCTAAACGCTATATATTGTAACTTTTTTTAATTTCCTTTCATGTTCATCAAAGACAACATTTTTTTTTTTTGAAAGATGATAGCTTAGTGGTTAGTTGTTAGATTAGAGAGACGATGAAGTTTAAACTCACACTGAAATGCAATAACATAATTTTTTTTCATCACAGTAATAAATGACCACTTGCGTCAAATACTACTTTTTATTCATTTCATTTCCTCTATTAACTATTTTTTATCTAGAAATATCATTTTTTTTTATATAACGTCTAGAAGAATATACATATAGAAGCTTTTAATATAGTTTTTCTTAATTTAGTTGAGAGCGTTAGAGAAAGTACTTTCCTCCAATAACTTTCTCAGTCTCTCGTTTAATGATTTCAATTTTGATCAAATATGATCTTCACATTGTGGTTAGTAGTTTACTTTTAACTTGTACAGAGAGCTTAAGGGGAGGGATCCCCATTTTTTTTTTTAAATGGGGATTAGGTGTGGGGCCCACTTCACATCGAATTTCAACGATCCGAACCGTCTATTTTGTTAGTCTCGATTCATAGATCATCCTTGCAAAATATTAGCTAAATTGGAAATGTTTAAGACATCTAATTGGGTTCAAGGAAATAAACGAATACTTTGTTATATAAGAAAAAATGAAATTTGATCTTGATAATTAAATAGGCAAATGGTTTCGGATTGAATTGAATTTTTGCAAGGATGATCTATGAATCGAGTAGACGGTTCGGATCGTTGAAATTTGATGTGAAGTGAGTCCCACACCTAATCCCCATTTTTTTCAAAAAATGGGGATCCCTCCCCTTAAGCTCTCTGTAACTTGTAAGGTATGGCAAAAGGCCTAACGATCACAAAGGTTGGCCCAGGGCACATCCTTACGGTTGTATTGACAAGTATTGAAAATGATAAACATGTATTTGATATTGAAAATGATAAACATGTATTTGATATTGAAAATGATAAACATGTATTTGACCACAACAAATCGAGAAAAACTTATATGCAACAAGATGATATTGCTACATATCGTGTTTTAAGTTGAGTTTTTTTATTTAGGCCACAAATAAGGTCAAATTACGAACTTATACTTTTTATACGTACACGTTTGAGAAGAAAAAATTAAACTCGAAATCTCGTGTTCAAAAGTAAAAGTAATAAACCAATTTAACTCCAAACCGCTTGTTGTTCTTTTCCTTTTTTTTTTATCCATACGCTTTGTTCCCTTTGGTATCGTTTGGTATGCAGACGAGACGGGAATGAACGGAATGAGACGAGACGAGACGGAACGGAGAGAGAGCAAAGATGCCCTCGGATGGAAACAAGAAGGAAGAAGAAAGAGATGAAGATGTTATAATTTTGTGTTCCACGGATGTGGAACGAGTTGTTCCAGGAGGGTGAGGCGGAACAAAAATTCACTCAAAATTCGTCCCGTGAAACAGTGCGTTCCATCCGTTTTAGATGCACTAAATGTGGGAAGGAACGCCTCATCTTACTCCGTTTCGTCCCGTTCCACATGTCAAACGGTACCTTTAGTTTAGGCTTTTTACCCCGAAAATTGTCAGTTCCAAGAACACAAACAACTCGGCAAGAAAGCGAAGTCCTGTTTGCAGTTGGAAAACGTTAAAGAACCCACTGCCACAGTGCCACGTTGTGGACCCCATTCCGACCAGTGTGTTGACGTGTCAACATCAGAAACATCACTTGTCAAACAAAATTGTCCAGCCCATAGTCTGTACATACGACTACATCTGCATGTCGTAGTCGTGTGCCGTCTGACTGAATACATGTGTAGCTTAATCTCATGGGTTGTATATAGTTTAGTGTACGGAAAACCGATTAGATTGATTAAAAACAGACAAGTGTCATTTAAAATATTAAAATAGTGCAATTATTTGTATAATCACACACTCAACTTCTCGGGTGAATCCCCGTATGCCTTATCTCCAAGCACATCTCAATTTATTTGTAATTTTTGACTTGCTAATCAACCAGTAAAAATAAACATACACGTATAGGAAGAGAAAACGTGAAATCTTTATTTGTCCACGCACATGCCAAAACACTTGGTTGGCATAGTATTGGTGCTACGAAATTTGTCAGCCTTTTTTTCAACATTGAAGTGTCCTTTACTGCGTTTTGCTTCAATTCTAACCTTACTGTCTTCTATGATTTTCGCCGAGCGAGCTTCTTTGTTCTTCAGCTTTTCCACTTCCCTTTGTCTTTGCTTCTCAACTTTTGTCTGCTCCATCATGCATGCACAAGCTCATAATTAACCACGAATAGTGATTAACTAAGAAAAGAAAATCTAGGGACGCGTTATCAATATATATATATATATATATACACACACATAAATATACGTATGTATAATGTATTGCATGACAGATTAGTATATATGTCCAACATATATTATAAATCGTTCGGTGTTTTATATATAGATTTAACATTTTGTGTATCATATCTAATGCGTTTTTTCAAGATAAAAAAGACACCAAAGGCCGTCAATAAGGACATATCTTAGTGTGGCACTTTCCCTACTTCATACGAAAGTTTTGCAAATTTTTGTGATTAATTTTAACCCACTAATATGCTTTTGCACTACAAGTTAGTGCCATTTTCTTGTTCATTTTTCTTCTTCCAATTAAAGTTTGGGGTGTCCTTTCAAACTAAAAAAAATGATATAATTGATGAACACACAAAATTGATATATTTGTTGACACTCTAATACAGATGAGTCTTGTCATTGTATATGTGGGTCACACTTATATTAGAAAGCATAAGCCAATTTTGTGTGCTCAAATAACATCACTTGTCCAATATTCGTGATTGAATTTGTTTCCGAGAAAGAAAAAAAACCATGCATCTTGAAGACTATATATAAGAAACTTAAGAAAGCAAAAGAAAATTATTAAAAGGATCTTTGAAATGAATACATATACCTTGAGCCATTCCGATTCCCTTGATGAATCGAATTAGTCAATATTTTATACTTTACTCAATACACTTGATCGATGTAATTAGTTGCCTTCTTGTTGCTTGATTGAGAAAATTGTGAGCAATAATCTTGGCACCAAATATATATATACATAGTCGTTGGTCTTCCATAATCCACCCAACAAATTAAAACTCTTTATTGGTTTCATTACAGCACAACATAATGTGGTGTATAATGCTTATGATCGAGAAATAAAATACAACACTCGAAATCTTATAATTATTTCCATATAAATTACACCCTCTCCCAATTAATAAATAGAGGGGCATGCCAAAAGTTATGGATAAAAGTGGTCACATGCATGTCTTATTATGTATACATAAATAGCTACACATAAGATTATAGAAACCCCATGCTGCCATGCATGCTTCACAGCTTCAGTCCTTGTATCATCAAATAGAAGAATAGCTGTAGTAAACTTCTACGGGAGGTGGAGCTTCAGAAATTACCGAGAATATAACAAAGACTCCGAACAATACTGTGATGATGGTGGTGAAGTTGACGAGAAAGGCCTCGGTCCCAAATTTATCGAGTCCCGATCTCTCGAGGAATGTGAGCTTCTCTAAGAACCCTAATGAAGAATCGCCAACAGCCAGTACGTACACGATGATTCCAAACACCACATGCCATAGAATAGACTCCCTCCTCAGTGTAGGACTCCCTCCGGGGAAGAAGAAGGTCACGAACCCATATGTCCACTACCCATTCAGATCGATATGTCCAAATTTAGAGGAAAATAGAAAAATTAAAAGTATAAATAATAACCCCTAAATAGCCAGTTTCACAAGAAATATGATCACGATTGTTTAATTTGCGCATGTATGTGAGTGACTGTCAGTTGTTGATTCATATGTATATGGTTCAATAAGATTGACATGCGTACATTAACAATAAAACCACTCACACCAGCGAGGAAAATTGTCGAAAGCAAACATCGTAGGTGGTATTAGAGAATACTTGAATACCATAGAGAACGATCACCCCAATTCCAATCCAGGCGTGCAAACTGTACATATTGGCAATTCCACTCACATTGTGGTTCTTGAACGCAAGATAAATACCAATGATCCCAAGAGCCAATGCGAGAGCATGAAGAACCAAGTGTATCACTTTCTTCATCTTTTTATTGAAAGGCAGTGATTTGTAACTAACCATGGCTGCAATTTTTGGTTGTACAAATCAAGGTTCGACAGTCAGACCAAGTGAAAAACTCAATATACCGCAAGTGCGGAAATATTTTGCAAAAATCACAAACTAGTTTTAATTACCTTCTCCTCCCAAGATAATTAAGCCAAGTAACATGAGAACAGGATGGAGCTGTACCAGAAAAAAAAAAGAAAAAAAAAGGAAATATTACGAATTTAGAATGACAACATAAAAGCAGGTGTATGATAACACAAATGAAATATCACCAATGATGTTTGAACGTTGCGTTAATGGTTTCTCTGAGTTCTGACCTTAATGACCTTTTTTCTTTTCTTCAGTAATCACTTATTGTACTATACATGCTAATTAAAAAAATTATTTGTTTTATTCTCAGGATATTTACAAGAATACCCACAAGAAATGAAGAAGGAACTACCTATTGATAAGATTCCAAACAGATGTGTTTCTATTTTTACACATGGTTGGGAGATATCCGTCGGAGTAAAAACTACTAATCTAAGCCAACTGATTCTCAAAGAGTGGAAAAAAAAGAAGCATGAGCAGTATGTATTCTAAATTCTTTATTAAATTTGTTATAAGAAATCTAACATTATATATACTTTTAATATATAGGTGGCGTATGAAAAAGGCGGTAGAAGAATTAAAACCTTCAACAACTCCTCACATCATACGCATTTGGAATAAAGTCCAAAAAATTAGGTACAACACCATTTCTTACCTATTTATGTTTAATTGCATTCTCCATATCATTCTACAAATTAATTATCTCAAATTTAAAAAATTTAAAAAAACAATTTATGGGTGCAAGAAAAAGATTAATAGTGATCAAACAACTTTTCTAAATACAGTAACTCTTCTCTTATTTTCATATGAATGTATACTATCAATTCAAATTGCATTCAATTTTCAAATAGAAATAAAATTGCATTTTTCTATCAGTTTTACAAGCATCACACCCGTCTTAAAGTACAAAAGTTGAAGTACAAGATTAAGGTAACATTTCTTACTATTTAATTTTGTAAACATGATTACAATTAGTTACTTCAAACTTGACAATTTATTTATTTTTCAGTGTTCTAAAAGTAACTGGAGTAAAAGTATTGCTATGGGAAAATTATCGAAGTTAAAGGTATTTAGGTTAAATTGCTTACAATCTTTATATTTGGGATTGTGCATTATAATGCATTATTCACATCTTAATCAGTTAGACTTCTTAATTTATCATCATTGCTTGCAGATTAACCATGAAAATCTAAAGCATCAAGTGCAAGCAAATGGATGGCAAGTATGGCGGAAGGACGAAAAACTTGACAACTAGATATTCATTATTCGTGAAATCAAGAATGTCTTTATTTGTGAAGTCAAGCATTAACTAGATATTCATTATGTAAAACTAAATTATTGCTCCTATCAGTTGTGTCCATTCTTGATTTGATGAAATCCACTTTATTTTTTTTTCTTCGTATTCCTACATAAACCCAAAAAAGAAAGAGAACGCAATATTTTTTTTTTTGACAAAAGAAAAGATAACATGGGGAAAAATATATGCAATAACAGTAACTTGCATATTAATATCAATGCAGAGAAGAGCTACTTAATGTTTTTATCTACTCTTTTTTTATTTACATCTACTTACTATTGTTCATGAACTTTAGATAGGAACTTGAATCCAAATATCTCATGTTGTTTGACAATTGTATGAATAACATTTGTTTGTACCATACTTGACCAATCCCGAAACTACCGAGCACCGGCCAACGCTATACTGTCAAGGACCCAGAAGAGTTCCCCTCCGACCAGGAGGCCAATCACTACTCGACACGTGTCAAGATTAGAAGCCAATCAGAGCGCAGCACGTGTCGACATCAAGAACCAATCACAACATGACACATGTCAATGTGACAAAGCTACAAGTTTTTCTATAAATAGGGGTCATTCCCCCACAATATTGCCTAATGCCATTTTGTGTTAAATCATTCACAAGAACTCACTAAATTGAGAGCTTGATCCTTTCTACTTGTGTAAGCCCTTCACTACTAATAAGAACTCCTCTACTCCGTGGACGTAGCCAATCTGGGTGAACCACGTACATCCTGTGTTTGCTTCTCTGTCTCTATTCATTTACGTACTTATCCTCACTAGTGACTGAAGCAACCAAGCAACCAAGCGAAGGTCACAAAACCTGACACTTTCTGTTGTACCAAAGTCTTCGCTGATTTTGTGCATCAACAACATTTAAATCATTACTTTACGCAAATTGAAAACAAAAAACATGACAACTTATTAAGACTTGCATGGTAAAGAAAAAGTTCATCTTTGCACAATACATTTAAAGTATATCTTGACAATTACAATGAAAAAAAAAAACTAACATAATACACCTTTAGGGGCGCGTAGCACCCGTGATGCAAAATAGTATATATATATATATATATATAATCGTTGGTCTTCCATAATCCGGCCAACAAATTAAAACTAATTATTGGTTTCATTTACATCACAACATAATGGTGGTGTATTATGCTCATGATCGAGAAATAAAATACAACATGCGTTTTAAGATTGCTCGAAATCTTACAATTATCTCTACATAAATTACACCCTCGCCCAATTAAATAGAAATAAATAAATTGAGGCATGCCAATAATTATGGATAAAAAAAGTGGTCACATGTCTTATTATGTATGCATAAATAGCTACACATAAAATTATAGAAACCCCATGCTGCCATGAATGCTTCAGTCCTTATATATAGAAGAATGGATGTTGTCATCTTCAACGGGAGCTGGAGCTTCAGAAATTACCGAGAGTATAACGAAGATTCCGAACAGTACTGTGATGATTGCGGTGAAGTTGACAAGAAAGGCCTCGGCCCCAAACTTATCGAGTCCCGAGTTCTCGAGGAATGTGAGCTTCTCTAAGAACCCTAATGAAGCATTGCCAACAGCCAGTAAGTACACGATGATTCCAAACACCACATGCCATGGAATAGACTCACTCTTCAGTGTCGGACTTCCTCCGGGGTAGAAGAAGGTCAGGAACCCATATATCCACTGCATTCATATTGATATGTTCTAACGTAGATAAATAAAAGCCCTAAATAACCAGTTTCTTGAGAAATATTAACCATAATTGTCTGCGCATGCATGTGAGTGGTTGTCAGTTGTTGATGCATGTATATGGTTCAATAAAATTGACATGTGTACATTAACGTGTTAAAAAGTAAATTGCTTACTAATTACTTGTTAGTAAATGGTTTACTTAGTAGATTTTCTATGTCATTTTGTGAAACTGTTTTCTGTTGAGATAGCTTGAGCTCATATGCCAAGTGTAGGCCTTAGATCAGATTTCATTCTAATGGCTCACATGCCTTGTAATTGCCATGTGTCATAATCACAATGGCTTATGTATTGAATGGTGATGATGACTAATGTAAGGAATGAATGAATATATGAAAGTGGAGCACCATTCTAAACGGTTAGAATCTTGCTATTATGAAATATTCTCTGCGTCTCTCTCTAGCTTTTCTTCTCTCTTCATTCTTCTTGCTCTCTTCGAAATCCAAATGATCAGATTAATGGAAGCTTACTCAAATCTTTGTAAACCGAACTGTAATAACAGGAGAATATGCAGTACTCGAGAGAGAGAGAGAGATTTAGAGAGAGAAGTTGATACTTTCATATGTCATATTTCAGTTACTTCAATCTTACAATATCAAGACTTATACTATATGAAACTGCCTAAGTCACAATATAACTAACTCTAACAGCCTTCCTAATCTTTTGACAAGTGTCTTCATATTCTACCATTGGATTACTATCCTTAACAATCTTAACATGGTATCGCGAGCCTAGGTTCTATCTGGAATCGAGGCATCGGATCTGTGAGGGTTGTGCTCGGAAATCCAACGTGAAATTTCTAGCTCAGTTCATTGATTCAGGTCTCAAATGGCTGGGTTAAGTGGTGGTCATCTTTGGACTTCAATATTCAATGGTAACAACTATGAATTTTGGAAGATCCGAATGAGAACCATTTTCAAATGCATGGAATATGGGATTTGGTTGAAAAGGGTTTTGAAATTCCAGAATCGAAGGGGAAGAAGGTCGAAGCGGAAGGCTCATTAGATTCAGAGAAAACTTCTTTGAGTGATAAGCCAATGAAGGATGCTAAGGCGTTGGGTATCATTCAAAAAGCAGTTTCGGAGGATATTTTTCCTAGAATCTCAAATGAGGAGACCTCAAAGGGCGTTTGGGATATTTTACACCAGGAATTTCATGGTGATAAACAAGTGAGATCCATCAAACTACAGGGTCTACATCGTGATTTCGAGTACACAAGGATGAAGGATGATGAAACCTTGTCTGTGTATCTCACTCGTCTTCTCGAGCTGGTGAATCAAATGAAAAGGTATGAGAAAGATTTACCCAGAGAGCGTTTGGTTCATAAATTGCTTATAAGCTTGACCAAAGAATTTGATCCAGTTTGCTATATGATCAAGCAAACTAAGGACATTGAAACTATTGAGGTGCAAGAAGTTATTGCTTCTTTGAGAGGATTTTCATAACGCCTTGATAGGCATGCTCAGAATACCACTGAGAGAGCTTTTAGTAGTATGAGTGTGAATCCAAAAGGAACTCAATCAAATCCCTCTTTTGGTAACTCTAAACCAAAGAAGAACTGGAAATCGAAGGGAAAGAAATATGACCCTAAACCTCATAACTTTGTCAATCAAGGTGGCAAAAATGATCAAGGAGGAAAACCATATCAGGCTAAGGGAAAATGCAAACATTATGATAAGCTACACTATGGTGAGTGTTGGTTTAAAGGGAAGCTAAAATGCCATGGTTGCAATCGATTTGGTCATTTTATCAAGGATTGTGATCAACCAAACAAGGCTAGAAAGCTTGTAAACTTTGCCAATCAGGTAACAGAACCTGCAACCATGTTTTATGCCTGTCATTCTGTTACTATTGGAAGAAATATGAACATATGGTATGTAGACAGTGCACGTAGTAATCATATGACCTCTCATGAATCTTTACTTATTGATGTTGATAAAAATGTGAAGTGTAGAGTTAACATGGGCACTGGAGATTTAGTGCAGTCAATAGGCAAAAGTACCCTGGTTATAGAGATGAAAGGTGTGACTAGATATATTAAAGAGGTTATGATTGTACCTGGATTGGATAAAAATTTATTGAGTGTATGGTAGATGGTAGAACATGGATATTGGCTTGTGTTTGGTGATTACATGGTTGATATATATGCAGATAGACAGATGGAAGATTTGATTGCAAGTGTTCAAATGAAAGGAAACAGATGTTTTCCCTTAAGTCTAGAATATGTTAATCCTCTTATGACTAATAGAGCAACTGTTGAAAAGTCGTCTTGGTTGTGGCATAGAAGATATGGACATCTAAACTACATCAGTTTGATGCTCTTGCAAGAGGAGGAAATGGTGCAGGGTTTACCTAGACTACAAGTCACTGAGCATGTTTGCTATGGAACTGATTCACTCTGATATCTGTGGTCCAATGCAGATCACTACTCTTGGAGGGAACACATTATTCCTTACCTTTATTGATGATCACACTAAAATGTGTTAGGTGTTCTTTTTGCAGCACAAGTCACAAGTCTTCAACATTTTCTTGGAATGAGGGTAACTCAAATTGAAGGGAGTATATTTATACATTAGAAAAAATATGCTTTGACACTCTTGGATAAATTTGGGCTCAAAGACTGCAAGCTAGTGAGCACTCCATTGGTTACAACTGAAAATTTGAGAAGTGATGATAATAGTGAACCCGCAGATGAAAGTTTATACAGGAAAATTGTTGGGAGTCTGCTACCAAACTAGATATTATGTTCTCTGGTAGCCTACTTGCATGATTCATGCATAAACCTTCCAAGAAGCACTATGGAACTACTAAAAGGGTTCTAAGGTATATCCAGGGAACAATTGATTTTGGGATTGAATATGTGGTTGGAAAGTCTACTCTATTAATTGGCTACTGTGATAGTAACTGTAGTGGATTTGAGGAGGACATGAAAAACACCTCATGGTATGCTTTTTCATTTGGAAGTGGGGCATTTTCATGGGCCTCAGTTAAACAACACAGTGTGGCACTCTCAACTGCAGAAGTTGAGTATGTCAGCATAGCTGAAGCAACTACACATGCCATTTGGTTTAGATTTGTGCTTGAAGACTTTGGAGAAGAGCACGCCACTGCAACTCCCTTATTCTGTGATAACACCTCAGCTATAGCTATGTCTAAGAACCCTATGTTTCATCAGAGAACCAAACATATTGGCAGAAAGTTTCACTTCATTAGAGATGCAATTCAAGAATGATTGATTGATTTGATTTACTACAAGAGTGAAGAACAGATTGCAGACATCTTTACAAAGGCTCTTCCCAAAGACAGGTTCAACTACCTGAGAAGCCTACTTGGTGTGAAATCAGTTAGCAATTTAGAAGGGAGTGTTGAAAAGTAAATTGCTTACTAATTACTTGTTAGTAAATGGTTTACTTAGTAGATTTTTTATTTGTCATTTTGTGAAACTGTTTTCTGTTGAGATAGCTTAAGCTCCTATGTCAAGTGTAGGCCTTAGATCAGTTTTCATTCTAATGGCTCACATGCCTTGTAATTGCCATGTGTCATAATCACAATGGCTTATGTATTGAATGGTGATGATGACTGATGTAAGGAATGAATGAACATATGAAAGTGGAGCACCATTCTAAACGGTTAGAATGTTGCTGTTATGAAATATTCTCTCTGCTTCTCTCTCTAGCTTTTCTTCTCTCTTCATTCTTCTTGCTCTCTTCAAAATCCAAATGATCAGATTAATGGAAGCTTACTCAAATCTTAACATAACGACTAAAACCACTCACACGAGCGTGGACAATTGTCGAAAACAATCCTCGTGGTTGGGATTAGGGTATACCTGAATTCCATAGAGAACAATCACCCCAATTCCAATCCAGGAGTGCAAACTGTACAGATTGGCAATTCCACTCTCATTGTGGTTCTTGAACACAAGATAAATACCAATGATCCCAAGAGCCAATGCGAGGGTATGAAGAACCAAGTGTATCACTTTCTTCGTCTCTTTATTGAAAGGCAGTGATTTGTGACTAACAATGGCTGCAATTTTTGGTTTTACGAATCAAGGTTCGACAGTTAGACCAAATGAAAAACTCAGCACGTAAAATTTACCACAAGATCAACCATCATGCTACGAAAATATTTTGCAAAAATCACAAGCTAGTTTTAATTACCTTCACCTCCCATGATAATTATGCCAAGTAACATGAGAACAGGATGGAGCTGTACCAGAAACAAAAAAAACAAGGAAATTAATATTATGAATTTAGAATGACTATATAAAAGCGCAGTGAGAATAGTAAATATTTTAGTTTTTTTCTCTATCACTCTCTTCCTCTCTCCTTTGATTTCAAAAATAAAAATAAAAATAAATTTCACACACAAAGGGTGTGCCCATATGCTAGTGTAATTAATGATAATCCTCCATTCAGATATTTCCAGAAGCAGATAAATACGTGAGTTGTTTGACCTCTGTGTCACAACAAACTTGGACAGGCATGTGAATGTCCACACTCTTACACTCACATTTATTAATTTCTATCCCATTAATTCCAACTACCAACCATTTTTCTGGAAGCCAGATGCCATACGTGTTCTCATAATCTGATTTAAAAAATAATCAATTATCGTGGTCCATAAAATATATTATTAAAAAACTATTATTGACATTTCGAAAAAACAGTCATATTAGAATCATCGCATTGTGTCAAGCGTAGACGTATTTTTGGTAAGAATGGTGGGTGAACTTGTGAAAGGTACTTAACCGTTTCTAAAAATAATCAGAAAATTAGAAAGGGTTTAAGGGTCCATGCATCATTAGTTTCACCTACAATTAAGCAAAAGGCAACCCTAGCTTACTATTGTTAACAAAAGAACCAGCCTGCGTTAAGACCGGCATGTTAGAAGGAGTTGCACTTTAATTGTGTCCTATAACGCTACTAAACTCAATTAGTATATGACTAAATTGTTATTGGCGCTACAAAAACGAGTATATCAATCGAGAAGAAGCATAACTTTAGCATCAAATTAAGGCACGTATATAGAAAATCAATACAAAATAAGAAGTTATTTCTACACCTAAGAAAACCCAGAAATGGAGAGTGAGAGAGAGAGAGACGTACGTTGAAGATGAGGTTCTTGTTGGTAGCTTCCCATGCCAAACCTCCTCTGAAATGAATGGTCCAAACCAACACCAAAGCCAAAGCCGTAACCCCGAGCGTGTGTACCACAAACGTGAAGGCAACCGCCGGTACCTTTAACGCCATCTCTTTCTCTCTCCTCCTCCCCCGCCCTCCTCTTCTTAATTCTCTCTCTCTCTCTCTCTCTCTAGTCTCTACGAATTCAGTAAATATCTATATTGTCCACGGGAGGATTTTATCTTGTTTCTTGCTCTCTGTGACTCAGTCCCCTCAAACATTTCCACCAGATTATGGCATTGGCAACCCAATTGGACCGTTGGATGGGGATCATAAACGTCATGTGATGGATGCCACGTGGACCTCATACTTTGATTAAAAGGGGACCCATTCAATGAAAATCCTCTGATTCCGTCCAGCTTCATACAGGGACATATTATAACATGGGTCTCACTCTTTCAGGCTCACAGCCCTGACATTCAGCCCAACGGTTATTTGAGGCCTGAATGTGATTGCAGTTGGGCGCTAAGAAAAGCTAAAAATTCTAGGCCCAACTTGATTTGAGGCCCAAAATAACAGAGCACACGAAATGAAGCGTAAAGAAGCTCAACCAAGACCCTCCAATTGAAAGATAGTAACTTACCTAACACGTGTATTTTACAATCCAACGAGAACCAGCTCACTAATTTGGTTGTTGACACAAACTAGAGGGTCGCCTATATTGAAATCTCACACAATTTGTGTGGATCCAAGTACTGGGAATCCTCTAATTTGTGTCTGCAGACGATCGGGTGTGTTGGTCCACCCGATCGAGCATAATTGATTAAGAATAGGAAGGATCATATGTGAATCTCAAAGATTTAGTTTAATAATAGGATTAGTTTAGAATAGTTAATCGAGAGACAGGTGGAGGCAACAATGTCTTCCATCTTTAATGATTTTCACCTTTATCAAGCATTCAATAATAGTCGGACTTAAATACAACCCACCCACCCACTATCCATAGTAAATAGTTTTCTATTAAAACATAAATAAACAAGGAAATAATATGTAAATGTTAATTAAAGATTATGTGCGCAATTCGAGATACCGGGTGGTACACTACATGTTATTATATAAGTAAGTAAATTTTTTATTTTTCAAGTGTCCCTCCGCTATATAATGACATGTGGTGTATCACTCCATGTTATGTGCACATTGAAAATTCTACCTAATAAAAAATGTTTTTTTAACAAATTATATTATCTACACTAAGAGAAAGATTGTGAGTTTAGCCTCATAATAGACTAGTAATAATCTAGTTCAAATTCGTCTTTAACGATAATCGAATGAGATGGGTGAACCCACATATAATTTTTGAATAAACTGGATAACCACTAGAAAAAAGTTCTCCTAGAATGGCCACTTGTATTGGACATGCTACGTGGCCTTTGATTTCAAATCCTAAGCAATAAATTGCTGAATTGGTTGGTGGCTAAACGTGGTTCACAACATAGAAATCAGCTTCAAGGAAGGGAACAGAGACATCTGATGGACATATTGGACCAGTTGTACTAGGACATATGAAAGAGGATACTAACCTAATAACACGACATTAACTTAAAAACTTAGAATAAGTGACGTCAAATGAGAACTTCAGAATAAGTAGTGTCGAGTTATTGGTTTGATGCCACCGTCGCATCGCAAGCCAATGGTCCACTACTTCAACTTTCTCAAACATTAGTACGTTATTGATTTAGAATACTCAACTCTAACGTTTTGGACGAAGGTAGGTCTCTAGTCATCAAAGCATTTAGAAGCATGGTACCCAAATAACATTCATTATTGATCCATATATAGTGCCAATTGGATTTGGAAAATCAGCCTGCGAACTTCAAAGTCTGTTACGTATTAAGGTGCGAAGAATGTCAATTGAAAATGTTTTTGCCTGGTCCTGTCTATACCAGAGAAATAAAAAAGACAATTAAGAAGCTGTTATATTTTACGAAAATAAGAAACCATGTTATACAATTTCCATTTTTCAAATTTATAAGGAAGATATTGCACCAGAAGAAAAAAAAAAAAAAAAAAACTAAGTGGTAAGAAAAAAAAAGTTAGGAACCAGAATTTTAAACATCTATTGTAAATCAACATGACGGGAGTAGATGGTTGAACTTATTTTTTAATGTTTATAGAGAATTTAACTATTAACTGTCACGTTATATTGTTTTAAATTCAAGAAATGCTCAAGAGATATTTCAAAGTTTTAAAGTGAGACTCGTCATGTACTACCAAACCCTCTAACATCTTGAATTTTTTATTATAATATGTTATAGTATTGACATGAAAATTAAGGTGCCAATAATGTCAATTGGATTGGAAATCCTTATTGATCCATATATAGTGCCAATTGGATTGGAAAATCAGCCTGCGAACTTCGAAGTCTGTTACGTAGTTATCTTGTAATTAAGGTGCAAATAATGTCAATTGAAAATGTTTTTGCGTCCTGTCTATACCAGATAAATAAAAAAGACAATTAAGAAGCTGTTATATTTTACGAAAATAAGAAATAATGTTATACAATTTCCATTTTCCAAATTTATAAGGAAGATATTGCACCAGGAAAATAAAAAAAAAACTAAGTGGTAAGAAAAAAAAGTTAGGAACCAAAATTTTAAGCATCTATTATAAATCAACATGACGATGGTTGAACTCATTTTTTAATGTTTATAGAGAATTTAACTATTAATTGTCACGTTACATTGTTTAAAATTTAAGAAATGCTCAAGAGATATTTCCAAGTTTCAAAGTGGAACTCTTCATGTACTACCAAACCCTCTCATATCTTGAATTTTTAATATAATATGTTATAGTATTGACACGAAAATTAACGTTAAAATGTAAGATAAAGTTTATAAAAATACAAGCACAAAGTACGAGGCACGTGTTGACATGCAAGTCCTCGCCATGTGCATCCTCAATTATGATAAGAAGTATAAACTCATAGCAATTTAGCTACTGTTTTAGATAAGACAACCGACAAGGCACTTACGTAAAAGTAGCAACTTTTATTCATCTTTCGGACTTTTGCGCTGCTGAATGGGCCATCCAAGGCCATGGATGGGAGAAATTACATGTGTCGACAACAGAATTCGGTAAATTATGAGTTTCCATATAAATGTTTAATTTTTTATAAAATAATTAATCACTTATGTGATGACAGTTAACATATCAAATCGTGTTTTCGTCGTTCTGAAAAATTATGCAATTCAGATATCTTTCCTGAAACATATGATTGCATTAAAATCCGATACAGCTAATTATTTTGTTTCTCTAATCACATTTTTATTTATGGAATTCGTTTCTGAGTCGTCTTCAAAAATGGTTCTGTGGAGCGTCTAGTCTTACAGCTAGAGATTAGATTTTCACAGCCACACAGCCTTCTAGTCGTTTTCAGAATATTCATCTGTTTTCAAAAACAGTGGACTGAAAAATACCTTGCTTGTTCCTAACTTCTGCTCTAACCTCAAAGAAAACAGCATCGTCTGCTCAAAATCTCAGAAATTTTTTTTCTGAGATCTGAGAACTCAGGACTCAGAAATCAGAAAACATGTTCAAGTCATGGAGCAAGAAGAAGAAGATAAGAGCTGTATTCCAATTGCAGTTTCAGGCAACTCAGGTATCGTTTTCAAACTCAGAAAACTAAAACCATCTTCTTTCCAGTCACTTATTTCGAAATTGGTTTGCTCTGATGGATTCATACCGAAGTTTTCGAGTTTTCGAAACGAGTTCAGCTGAAATGTGATCTAGTTTTTCATAAATACACATATATATATATATATAATATCTATGTATATATAGACGCTATACAGGGATATGATATCACATTCGTACCTGGATTTTCTTTCCTGACCGTTTTTAATCTCAGGTGCCGAAATTGAAGAAGCCTGCTTTGATGCTGTCGCTGGTGCCGGACGACGTCGGAAAGCCGACGGTGAAGCTGGGGAAAGCGGCGGTTCAGGACGGCACCTGCATTTGGGAGAATCCAGTTTTTGAGTCAATGAAGCTGATTGAGGAAGCAAAAACAGGAAAACTGAAGGAGAAGATTTATCACTTCATTGTTTCTAATGTAAGGAAGCGTTTAGTTTTCGGAGTTCTTAAGGGATTCGTCTGGTAACGTTTTAACACTGAGGGGATTGTTGCAGGGATCTTCGAAATCGGGTTATCTCGGAGAAGCTTCAATTGATTTTGCAGATATTGTGGCGGAAACTGAACCGTTAACCGTCACTCTGCCCCTTAAGTTTGCAAATTCCGGTGTAGTTTTACATGTGACAATTCACAGGATTCAGGAAGATGGTGATCAAAGGTGAGAAATGAGAATCCACACTGTCACTCTATTGCTTCTCTAGTTATGATTTGTTTCGGTTTTTCTTTCGCTGTCTCCTTCGCTTGCGCGAGTTAGACATAAGATTTAATCTGATATTCAGGGAAATCGAAGAAGGTGACGATCCAAGTCTGTCACGCCATAGCAGCGTGGGGAACCAAAACGGCAATTGGGATGCAGATGGAAGCAACCACTTACGTTCCAATGAAGTACGGTATTCCATAGCATTTTCTTTTCGATGAGGTTAACTCAGATGACCTAAAATTTATGAATCCGAGTATGGGAACCTGACTAGGTGTAGTTTACGTTGCTGCAGAATGGAGGATATGTCCAACGGGACGCTGCTAGTTCCCTGTCACCCCCTGAAGTACAAAATTCCATGCCTCACAATGGACAGGCGGGTGCCAACGTAAGGAAAACCCATACGCATCAAAAATCAAGCTTGGATTGGTCTTCAGATGGAAGCTTATTTGACTCACTAGACATTGTTGAAGACAAGCTTCCGGCAGAAAGAGTGCAAGCAGTTTCAGATGTTGATAAACTCAGAAATGAAATTACTGTTCTGAAGAGGCAGGCAGACCTATCGGAACTGGAATTGCAGTCTCTTCGGAAACAAATGGCCAAAGAGAGCAATCAAGGGCAGAATCTGTCTAAACAAATTGTTAGCCTTAAAGAGGAGAGAGATGCACTCAAAATGGAATGCGAACAACTTAAGTCCTCACAGGGACGTAGTAATGGGAAACAGACTTTCAAAAAGATGCAGCCCGAGACTGAGGATACAAGAGCACAGTTAGACGCAATGAAGCAAGAGCTTAGTTCTGAGAAGAAAGCAAGAACCAATCTTCGCTCACAACTCGCGCACACACAAGACTCAAATTCTGAGTTAGTCCTTGTCGTGAAGGATCTGAAAGATGAATTGGGAAAGAAAAATAGAGAAATATTTGATCTTTCAAGCCAGTTAGAAGCTGAAAAAAATTCCAAAATGATGGCAACATA